ATAACAACCATATCATTCTGTCGTGGTGCATTTGTCCACTGAAACTGTGATCCGCGACTCTCGCCCGACTGTCGTGCTTGCAAGGGCGTACATGATTAAATGGGCGTTCACCCACACCACAATTGTTTGTCGGATGTCGTGCGTTCTCCCCAGTAGTCCTAGTTCTCGTTGCACCTTCTCTCTGTGCACTTTGCATACTGCGTTTGTTTTTTGAAGTGAATAGTGACAGTTGTGAGTGACAATGGCATCAAATGAATTATCGTGTGGATCGAAAATAGCAACTTAAGTGATAATTGACAATGATGTTTTGATTGAATTAGTGGAAGCAAACCCAGTACTGTGGGATAAAACTTTAAACTATTATAAGGACAGAAATTAAACGAAAGAAATGTGGAAACTAGTTTGCTCTGCTCTGAGAGAGGATTTTGAACAATTGGAGGGTAAAGGAAAAAAACATTTTTTAGTTATTATTTGTTATTATTAGGTTTTTTTAATAAATTGATTAATTGGGTGAATCCAGTACTTCCGCTCAATCCTACGCTGCCTAATTCTGCACCACATTGCAACAACACGTAACAGATTCATTGTTTTACTATTTTTGATACAGAACCACTGTTAATATATTGCACAACACACACTCACTCGTCCACAGTTACCGAGCAACTGATCATTTACCCGATAAAAACACAAGAAAAAAACAGTAAACATGCAATTGTACGTAAATAAACCGATGTATAAATTGGAAAAATAAACTAACAATTCAATAAGATCAAATGATAGATATTCTAGACTTGGTTGATTTCACAAGAAACGTATATAATTAATTGTAATTGTGTTAATCCGTTTAAACCTTTAAACCCCTTGATGTTCCTTGTTGCAGGAATATCACAGTGGTGTGCTGGTGTCTGCCAATCAAAAACGTAACATGAGATTTAACGCAGCTGGATCCTGCCCCACGTCAGGCTACTCGAACACTTTTGTCCCTTGAGGTAACTATCATACACTTGATTTACTATCTGAAACAAAGAAATAACTAGTTGTTAAATCCATAGACACTTTATAAGGTATCTTAAGGTAAATTACATAAATACTCAGGGCCGTATTTCCCTAACGGCAGACACGGCGGTTTCCAGGGCCTCGTCCAAGGAAGGGGCCTCACTGTGGGCCCCGAATATGTATTTTTAAAATAAATTTATTTCACAGATTTAATCTATTTTGCTGCCATTGCAGGAGATGTTGATAAAATCTGCACGACAGCAAACAATCTTCCCTATTTCGCCAATTATGTAGGAGACGTCACCTAATTCATCCGCTATCACAGGAGTATGTCCATGATTTTATCGTGACCCCGCAAACTAGGAAGATCATCACGATTTCGTCATGATCAAAGGAGATGCAGATGATGTCTCTGCCCTTGCGCAAGATATTAACCATTTCTCCTCGGTCATAGAAGTGGTTTAGGATTTTGCCGCGATAGGAGGAGTTGAAGATGATGTTTCCCCACTCGCAAAAGATGTTAACATCTCCATAGGAGATATTCATTATTTCGATGTGATCGCAGAAGACGAAGATAATGTCTCCAGGATTGCGCAAGATGTTCACTGTGTTTAAGAAGACATTAGACATTGATTATTTTGCTGCGATCACAGAAGACGAAGATGGTGTATGCACGATTTCGGGAGTATTGTACAAAGTCTAAATATCACAACATTGTGTAAAATATCCGCGATCGCGCATCATGTTCACTTTTTTTCCGTGAACGTAGAGATCTTCACGATTCCTCCGTGACCACGGCGGATGTCCAAGATTTTACTGTGACCGAGAAGACGCTTGCAATTTGGTTGTGATTACACATTTTGCATAAACTTATTCCAAATTTTTCCAAAACTACCTACGGTGCCTAATTTTTATCCGATGCCTGAAGGTCCAAACTTTTTATTCAACCCAAAAGAAATTAAAATGTCTGGCTCCGACCTAAGCCCCTAATATTATTATTTACAAATTAATAGACTCTAATAACTAGACTACTATGTCTTATTACCGATAGGATTGTTGGAAACAAAAGGAAAATTCATCGAGTTGAATTACCTTGTGTATTTTTAAACTCTTCAGCTCCAATATTCAAAGAGTCAGAATATAGAGGGGCTTCATAAATTCCAAATACGGCCCTGTAAATACTATATCCTGTTGGAACATATTGATAGAACATTTAATAAGGACAGTTTTGGAATCAAACCCTCCTCTATGGATTGGCGATAGCTGTTGGCAGCTGAGTCCAAACAAATCTAAACATGGAACATGGTGGAAGCGTCAATTATATTTTACTATGTTTTTAATACTATAACAAGGCTATTCAAACCATAACTGTGGGACCCCCAAAAAGTTTAGAATCATTAAACACAGGTAATTTAAAATAAGTGGCGGTCTAGTTAGGATTCATTTTAACATTTCTTTGAAACTGTTTTAGATCTTTCCGACTGAAGTGGGTGTCAACTTTGGGGAGAAGATCGTCATAGAATGAATTACAACTTTAAGCCAGACTTGAACTCACAAAATTTGCTCACTTGGACTTCGCTATTTGCAGGTTTTGAGTTTCTGTCATACCAAAGGTAGGAATATTCCTTTTGTGTGCATTATGTGTTCTGCCATCATTTATCGGATTGAGTCTTCGCTTTACTGAAGAAATCCCCTTCGTTTAGTTTTAGGTTAGTACAAAGAGGTTTGGGATGGTTAGAGTTATCACAGATAACTAAATTCATTTTATTTATAATTTTTATTAGATCAGGTATTTTTAGGTTTTTTTTATCATACAGTGTTAGGTGAAATTTTACTTTATCTTGTCATAAATTAATTAGCCATTGGCTTTTAGAACGGATTAGGGATTTTCAGGTTTATTTATTAGATCGGTTTAGGTGAAATTTTACTATATTTTTTTCATGAATAGGTTAGCCACAGGCTTTTAGAACAGATTGAAAATGTTTAGGTTTTTTTTAAGTATATAGTTTTAGGTCAAGTTTAACTATATTATCTCATGAATAGATTAGCCATAGGCTTTAGGACAGAATAGGGATTTTCAGGTTCTTTTTATCAGATAGAGAGTTAGGAAGATAATTAAGATATTATTACAGTAGCTCACAAAGGCTTTATAGCTATGATAGGTTAGTGCTAGGCCATCCTCTACGAGACATCTTCGAGAGCAGATCTTCATATTCAAGACGCTTAATTATTTGTTTGTTTTTTGTGTGTGTACTTGGATTTATTTCCATGTCCAGTTTCAAATCATCTGATATTGTTGCACGAACATAGTGATGAACCTTGATTTGACGCGATTTCAGATATGAGTCATAAAGTTGGATAGTTATTTGAGTTGATTGTTAATATTAGTTAAAAGAACAAGAAGAAGAAAAAGAGCATGAAAATCACGAATAAAAATACAGTGGTAAGTTGTGTAGTTTTACGTAAATTCCAATTTGATATTGTTGCACGAACATAGTGATGAACGTTGATTTGACGCGATTTCAGATATGATTCATAAAGTTGGATAGTTTGAGTTGACTGTTAATATTAGTTAAAAGAACCAGAAGAAGAAGAAGAGCATGAAAATCACGAATAAAAATACAGTGGTAAGTTGTGTAGTTTTTTATTAATTCCAATTTTATTGATTCCTCAAATGTTGCATACTGTACATATATATTTATTAGGTATTAGATATTGTTTTCCTTTAACTAGGTGTTATTAATACGCCTTCTTTAAGTTAGGGAATAATTGTAGGATATACATATATTTTGTGTATTAAGTTATTTATTAAGTCATTTTTCAGTAGCCTGGTAAAAGTTTAAGAAGTTTAACCATGAAAAGCCGTAATATAACTCTTATCTACTTAGGCAAAGCCAGTAAGTAGGGAATTATTTAGACCTTAAGCGGATGGGGACATCAATTGACCAAAAAATAGATTCCTAAGGGATGTTTTGCATGATTAAACTTCTAAGATTCTTACCAGGGGTGGCATGGAGGGATAAATGGGCTTCGGCCCTCAAATTATTTCAAAACTCATATCGTGCAATATATTTAATAAAATTCAAAATTTTTTTGGGAGTTTTGAAAACAGTTTTTGATTAGTAATTTACACCTTAAGCTTGTGTTACGGCCCTACCACAGTACGGTAATATTATGTGGTAGAAACAGGAGGCCCTCCACCTGAACATGGCCGAGGGAGCGCTTGTGGGTAGAGCGAAGAGGTAGATAAAAATAATTGTGTCTGGACCTCCTCTCCCTACCACGGGTGTCCTTTATCCAAAGTATCCCTTAAACCTTATTCCAACCCACTGACATGATTTCCTTACTTTTCTTCTCTTCATCCTGCTAGCTTCCAAAAAGGCATCGCCAGAGCTGTATTAGACTACCTAAGTAAGTATCTTATCTACTCTACCAAATAGAAACAATAATACAACTTAAAATGGTTAACAATACCTGCATATAGTAATCCTTTGTTGCTGATTTAGGCAACTAGTTTCGGTTCTTGTTTTGAACCATCTTCAGGCCTCAAGGTGTCAAGTGATCACTTCATTCGAAGGTCGTTAACAGAGTTCAATAAATAAAACATATACAAAACACGATACACGGAACGGACACACATTACAAAAAACACGAAAAACACGAAGGGACATTGACAAACGATCGTGACCGGGCTGAGGTAATGTCTAGACTGCTACAGCTAGACATTACCTCAGCCCGGTCACGATCGTTTGTCAATGTCCCTTCGTGTTTTTCGTGTTTTTTGTAATGTGTGTCCGTTCCGTGTATCGTGTTTTGTATATGTTTTATTTATTGAACTCTGTTAACGACCTTCGAATGAAGTGATCACTTGACACCTTGAGGCCTGAAGATGGTTCAAAACAAGAACCGAAACTAGTTGCCTAAATCACCAACAAAGGATTACTATATGCAGGTATTGTAAACCATTTTAAGTATAATACAGTAATCCGGAGGCTAAACAACTATTTTTTTAAATAATACAACTTTAGTATAAGTAGATGGCAGAGATCTCAACTCATAGAATATTTCAAGTATCCAAGCCAGTTTACAATACAATGGAAACTTACATGGGAATGTGTTTACTGTACAATGGAAAAAATGGATGTCAGCAAATAAGATTTTAGGTCAAGCTATTCCATATTTAAAATTAAGAAAAAGAACTGCCAACTATTAAACTGTCCCTTTAGGATTTGGAATTTTTCCCTCAAGAGCTTGGAATTTTTGAAGTGACAAATGTTGATTTTAACCAATTCCACTAAAGCTGCATCACACAACACAGGTAAATAGAAGTATGTTTTGGTCCAGATAGGATTACTTTTAATAGTTCGTTGATCCTGTTTCAGATCTCTCCGATTGTAGCGGGTGAACTTTCCTGAGAAAATCTCACAGCAAGTAATTCAACTACTTCCAAGTATGAACTTCCCGCTTCGAGAAGATGTTAATATCAGCGGTCTTTTTTATCATTTGCAGGTAATTTTTTACATGTCTTATAACTATATGTTTAAATTGATAAGAATATGATACTCAATGGATTTACGTTACGACGTACATGCTACGTAACTACACAGCGCTCCCAGGGGTGTGTGCCATAACCTAAGGTAACCGCAGCTCGGCTGACAGTTTATTGAGCGGAGCGAGCGAAGCGAGCGAAGCTCTTATACGTCGACTTTTATGCATTTCGTAATACGCAAACTCCTCCTAGACGGCTGAATCAATGGTTTTCAAATTTTAAATGGTGATAAAGACCATATCGGTGAGTGCCAACATCTATATGGCGTTAAAAATAACTCTCAGGAATCCGCCCCACTGGGTCTCAAAGTTTCAATGTAGTCCTTATGGAAGCAGTATTTGACACATAAACAAAGACATATGATCAGCTGTTGACTTTAAAATGCAGTAGATAAATAAATAGCTGATAGCATTATTCCTCAGATATTAGAACATAAACGGTGGTTTGGATCATAAAATAATCAAATGACGACAATAACTTGAGGTCCATGACGTAGGAAGTGGTGAAGGAAGTAGTAAAGGTGAGCAGTCTGGAGTGTGCAAACCGTTTATGACATTTAGATTTAGGTATCTGCATTCCAAAATTTATAAGGGAAGGGAGGAAAACGGGTCCACGACGTAGGAAGTGTTAAAGGAAGTACTAAGGGTGAACAGTCTGGAGTGTGGAAACTATTTATGTCGATTAGATTTAGGTATCTGCATTCCTAAAATTCTATGGGAAGGGAGGAAAACGGATCCGCGACGTAGAAAGTGGTGAAGGAAGTACTAAAGTGAGCAGTCTGGAGTGTGCAAACTGTTTATGAGGGTTAGATTTAGGTATCTGCATTCCAAAAATTATAAGGGAAGGGAGGAAAACGGGTCCGCGACGTAGGAAGTGTTAAAGGAAGTACTAAAGGTGAACAGTCTGGAGTGTGGAAACTGTTTATGACGATTAGATTTAGGTATCTGCATTCCTAAAATTCTATGGGAAGGGAGGAAAACGGATCCGCGACGTAGAAAGTGGTGAAGGAAGTACTAAAGTGAGCAGTCTGGAGTGTGCAAACTGTTTATGACAATTAGATTTAGGTATCTGCATACCAAAAATTATAAGGGAAGGGAGGAAAACGGGTCCGCGACGTAGGAAGTGATGAAGGAAGTAGTCAAGGCAAGCTGTCCGGGTTGTGGGAACTGCTTAAGCCCATTATATTAAGGTATTTGCAATCCTATGATGCTATGGGAAGGGAGGGAAACATGTCCGTCACGTAGGAAGTGGTGAAGGAAGTAGTAAAGGCCAGCAGTCAGGAGTGTGGGAACTGTTTATGACGATTAGATGAAGATATCTGCAATCATAAAATGCTATGGGAAGGGAGGATAACGGGTCCGCGACGTGGGAAGTGATGAAGGAAGTAGTCAAGGCAAGCTGTCCGGAGTGTAGGAACTGTTTATGACAATAAGATTAAGGTATCTGCAATCATAAAATTCTATGGAAAGGGAGGGAAACAGTTCCATGGCGTAGGAAGTGGCGAAGGAAGTAGTAAAGGCGAGTAGTCCGGAGTGTTGGAACTGTTTATGACGATTAGATTGAGCTATCTGCATTCCTAAAATTCTATGGGAAGGGAGGAAAACAGGTCTGTCACGTAGGAAGTGGTGAAGGAAGTAGTAAAGGCGAGCGGTCCGGAGTGTGGGCACTGTTTATGACGATTAGATGAAGTTATCTGCAATCATAAAAGCTATGGGAAGGGAGGATAACGGGTCCGCGACGTAGGAAGTGATGAAGGAAGCAGTCAAGGCAAGCTGTCCGGAGTGTGGGAACTGTTTATGACAATTAGATTAAGGTTTCTGCAATCATAAAATGCTACGGGAAGGGAGGAAAACGGATCCGCGACGTAGGAAGTGATGAAAGAAGTAGTAAAGGCGAGCAGTCCGAGGGTTGGAACTGTTTATGACGATTAGATTAAGGATTAAGGTATCTGCAATCATAAAATGCTATGGGAAGGGAGGAAAAGGGGTCCGCGACGTAGGCAGTGATGAAGGAAGTAGCCAAGGCAAGCTGTCCGGAGTGTGAGAACTGCTTATGACCATTATATTAAGGTAGTTGCAATCCTATGATGCTATGGTAAGGGAGGGAAACATGTCCGTCACGTAGGAAGTGGTGAAGAGAGTAGTAAAGGCGAGCAGTCCGGAGCATGGAAACTGTTTATGACGATTAGATTAAGATATCTGCAATCATAAAATGCTATGGGAAGGGAGGATAGCGGGTCCGCGACGTAGGAAGTGATGAATGAATTAGTCAAGACAAGCTGTCCAGGCCCACTTTTATAAACGGGCAGACTGGGCATATGCCCAGGGGCGCCGGAGGTTTGGGGGCGCTCACAGGGTGCCCCTCAACCATCGCCTGCCCGCACTAGGAAAAAAGGGGGGTACTGCTTTGGGTTTGCCCAGGGCTCCACTGACCCTTAACGCGGCCCTGAAGCTGTCCGGAGTGTGGGAACTGTTTATGACGATTAGATTAAGGTATATGTAATCATAAAATGCTACGGGAAGGGAGGGAAACAGGTCCGTTGCGTAGGAAGTGGCGATGGAATCAGTAAAGGCGAGCAGTCCGGAGTGTGGGAACTGTTTATGACGATAAGATTAAGGTATTTGCAATCCTATGATGCTCTGGGAAGGGAGGGAAACATGTCTGTCACGTAGGAAGGGGTGAAGGAAGTAGTCAAGGCGGGCTGTCCAGAGTGTGGGAACTGTTTATGACGATAAGATTAAGGTATCTGCAATCTTAAAATGCTATGGAAAGGGTTAGGAAAAGGTCCGTGGCGTAGGAAGTGGCGAAGGAAGTAGTAAAGGTGAGCAGTCCGGAGTGTGGGAACTGTTTATGACGATTAGATTAAGGTATCTGCAATCATAAAATGCTGTGGGAAGGGAGGAAAACAGGTCCACGATGTAGGAAGTGGTGAAGGAAGTAGTAAAGGCGAGCAGTCCGGAGTGTGGGAGCTGTTTATGACGATTAGATGAAGATATCCGCAATCCTAAAATGCTATGGGAACGGAGGATAACGGGTTTGCGACGTAGGAAGTGATGAAGGAAGTAGTCAAGGCAAGCTGACCGGAGTGTGGGAACTGCTTATGACCATTATATTAAGGTATTTGCAATCCTATGATGCTCTGGGAAGGGAGGGAAACATGTCTGTCACGTAGGAAGTGGTGAAGGAAGTAGTCAAGGCGGGCTGTCCAGAGTGTGGGAATTGTTTATGACGATAAGATTAAGGTATCTGCAATCTTAAAATGCTATGGAAAGGGTTAGGAAAAGGTCCGTGGCGTAGGAAGTGGCGAAGGAAGTAGTAAAGGTGAGCAGTCCGGAGTGTGGGAACTGTTTATGACGATTAGATTAAGGTATCTGCAATCATAAAATGCTGTGGGAAGGGAGGAAAACAGGTCCACGATGTAGGAAGTGGTGAAGGAAGTAGTGAAGGCGAGCAGTCCGGAGTGTGGGAGCTGTTTATGACGATTAGATGAAGATATCCACAATCCTAAAATGCTATGGGAACGGAGGATAACGGGTCCGCGACGTAGGAAGTGATGAAGGAAGTAGTAAAGGCAAATTGTCCGGAGTACAGGAACTGTTTATGACAATTAGATTAAGGTGTCTGCAATAATAAAATGCTATGGGAAGGAAGAGAAAAGGTCCGAGACGTATGAAGTGGTGAAGGAATTTTTAAGGTGAGCAAAGTGGAGTGTGGGAACTGGAAACCGTTTGTAGCAGTTAAATTAATGTATCTGCAATGCTGAAATGCTATGAGAAGGGATGGAAGCATCCCCACGACATAGAAAATGGTGAAAGAAGTGTTAAAGGCTAGCAGTGCAGAGTGTGGGGAATGTTTGTGGCAATTAGATTAATGTATCTAAAATACTAAATTGCTATGGAAAGTGATGAAAACAGGTCCACGATGTAGAAAAGGCTTAGAAAGTAGTTAAGTATGAGCATAGTGTGAAAACCGTCTGTGGCAGTTAGATTGATGTATCTTTAATCCAAAAATGCTATGAGAAGGGAAGGAAACAAGTCTATGACGTAGAAATGGTGAAGGAAGTAGTAAGGCTGGCAGCGCAGAGTGTGGGAACTGTCTTTGGCAATTACATTAATATATCTGCAATCCTAAAATGTTATGGGAAGAGAGGGAAATAGGTCCACGACGTAGGGGGTGGTGAAGGAAGTAGTAAAGGTGAGCGTGTTGAGTGTGGGAATGGATTAATGTATCTGCAAAGCTAAAACGCTATGGGAAGAGACTGTAAACTGTAGGTTAAAATAATTTCGAAGCACGAATCGATACATATTTCGATACATGCAATCGTTTATAATAGAAATTTACAACTGAGTTGCCAACAGCTGATTTTTACTCCATAGAGGATAAAAACTATTTTTACTCCATAGAGGATAAAAACTTTTTTACTTCCTAAAGACTAAAATTGCTACTTTAGACCCTCAACGCATGCATTAAAAACGACTGGTATTACTGCAGTATGACCAAAACAATATAATATAAACCCTTGACGACTCCGCTCAATTTTGTGGATGCTTCTGCGAACGCCACCTAGTATTTAATTATTTTAGTCTATGAAGATACACAATGGATTTACAGATCAGCGTTACTAAACAGTAAACATGCAATAGGATGTTAATAAACCGATGTATAATTTGGAAAAATAAACTAACAAATAAAATAGATCTCATGATAGATTTAAATTACCTAAGTACTGGCGTTTGTCCAGAATAATCAGTAAATTCTATATATATCGAAGATATGATAAATTAGATTCTAGACTTTGTTGATTTTACAAGAAACGTATATATTTAATCATAATTGTGTTAATCCTTTAATCCTTTTAACCCCTTGATGTGCCTTGTTGCAGGAATATCACCGTGGTGTGCTGCTGTCTGCCAATCGTACCAAAAGCGTAGCATGGAATTTAACTCAGCTGTAAATTCTGCCCCACGTCGGCCACGTCAGGCTCCTTGAACAGTTTCGTCCCTTATTAAGGTAATTATCTTACAAATGATTTACTATTTAAAACAAAGAAATTAATAGTTGTTAAATACATAGACACTTTAAAAGGTCTCTTAATTTTTTTTAAGGTTCTTGCTATATTGAGCTGATCTGTTTCCCAAATGAGGTTCAAGAAGAATATCTTGTCTGTGGTAAAGCAAAATTCCAAACTACATAAATACTCAGGGCTGTATTTCCCTAACAGCGGACACAGCAGTTGCGGGGGCCTAGGCCTAGGAGGGGGCCCATCTATTTTTTTTTTTTTTTATAAATTAATTTCACTGATTTAATCTGTTTTGCCGCAATTGAGAGAGACGTTGATAATCGGATAATGGAAGACGATAATAATGTCTACATAGCCAAGGAAAATAGTCAGAATTCACTACAATCACTATTTTTTTCATTTAAAATTTTTTTTTGCCCCCCAAAAAAGCCAATTGCCTTGCACCTAATATCGGCCCTGCGCATTCCGGTTAGTAAACCAATCCTATCCTATCTAACAACCACATCATTCTTTTGTGGTGCATTTGTCCACTGAAACTGTGATCCGCGACTCTCACCCGACTGTCGTGCTTGCAAGGGCGTACATGATTAAATGGGTGCTCACCCACACCACAATTGTTTTGTCAGATGTCGTGCGTTCTCCCTATTAGTCCTAGTTCTCGTTGCACCTTCTCTCTGTGCACTTTGCATACTGCGTTTGTTTTTTGAAGTGAATAGTGACAGTTGTGAGTGACAATGGCTTCAAATATGAATTATCGGGTAGATCGAAAATAGCAACTGAAGTGATAATTGACAATGATGTTTTGATTGAATTAGTGGAAGCAAACCCAGTACTGTGGGATAAAACTTTAAACTATTATAAGGACAGAAATTAAATGAAAGAAGCGTGGAAACTAGTTTGCTCTGCTCTGAGAGAGGTTTTTGAACAATTGGAGGGTAAAGAAAAAAAACATTTATTAGTTATTATTTATTATTATTAGGTTTTTTAATCAATTAATAACTTGATTAATTGGGTTGAATCCAGTACTTCCTCTCAATCCTACGCTGCCTAATTCTGCACCACATTGCAACCACAGGTAACAGATTCATTGTTTTACTATTTTTGATACAGGACCACTCTTAATATATTGCACAACACACACTCACTCGTCCACAGCTACCGAGCAACTGGTCATTTACCCGATAAAAATACAGTAAAAAACAGTAAACATGCAATTGTACGTAAATAAACCGATGTATAAATTGGAAAAATAAACTAACAATTCAATAAGATCAAATGATAGATATTCTAGACTTGGTTGATTTCACAAGAAACGTATATAATTAATTGTAATTGTGTTAATCCTTTTAAACCTTTAAACCCCTTGATGTTCCTTGTTGCAGGAATATCACAGTGGTGTGCTGGTGTCTGCCAATCAAAAACGTAGCATGAGATTTAACGCAGCTGGATCCTGCCCCACGTCAGGCTACTCGAACACTTTTGTCCCTTGAGGTAACTATCATACACTTGATTTACTATTTGAAACAAAGAAATAAATAGTTGTCAAATACATAGACACTTTAAAAGGTGTCTTAAGCTTTTTTTAGTTCTTATCATATTGAGCTGATTTCTTTCCAGTATGAGGTTCAAGAACAATCTTCTTGTTACAAGTAGAATTGAAAATATATTTCTAACAGTGCATTTAGAGTGGAGTCAATATTTTAGTGGCCCCAGTTACCAAGCTTTTGTGTTTTAAAAAAATACACAAATACCAGCTGCTTTGAAACAAAACAGCTGTTAGATTAGAACCCTATTTGTGGTGCCACTTCAATGGCTGTGGCCTGGAGTTAAAGGGGGCATGAATGTAAAAGAATATAAAAAAAATTCAAAAAGGTAAAAGGTTTAAATTACCTGTATCCGTCACGTTTGTAGTTAATTAACTACAGCCGTTTCGTGTTGTAAAAACATATCTTCAGTTCAAACGTACATTGATTTATTCCATGGTCGTCATAAGGTTTAAAGTTCACAGAAATAACACATACACGTACACAAAACACTAAACATAAATTGGCCAATACAAAACGTACGAAAACGCCTATGACCTACCTTCTACCGGCACCGTACGTGTCCGATGTCTATTACGTGTTTTTCGTATTTTTTGTTTTGGCCAATTTATGTTTAATGTTTTGTGTATGTGTATGTTATTTTTGTGAACTTTAAACCTTACGACGACCATTCCATGGAATAAATCAATGTACATTTGACCTGAAGATGTGTTTTTACAACACAAAACGGCTGTAGTCAATTAACTACAAACCAGGATCACTTGACGGATACAGGTAATTTAAACCTTTTATTGTAATATTCTTTTATCCAGAGGCTATAGGCTACCATAAAAATGAAAAGAATATTCATTGAAAGAGACTATAATTAATTAGGTCCCAGGTCCTAATATCAGAGTAGTATGTATTATATAGTATGTATTATGAGCGACTTATCAGTATTCAAAGTATCAGGTAGTATGTCCCTGATACTAGTGATGATGTTGTCTTTCTTCTGTTAAGATGGAGGGAGAGTACTAGATGCCGACATGGACCTGCTCTGTGTCGCCGTCACAGGAACAGTACAAGCTGTGCAGACCGACTCGCCACTCTGAACGACTTTGGAAAACGAAGAATTGGCACATGCTCTGTATATTTCTAATCTTTTTTTGTATTAAACTCCGTTTACAAAATTTTGGTGGTTATGGGGGTTCTTTAAATTTAATTACCTATTAACAATTCATTAGACTTGACTTGATGAAAAAGTATATTTTTAACTGAGATAAAATTACAATGAATGAACATTAAAAGTAAAAAAGTGTATTTTATTTATTCATGCAACAAAAGATTATAAACAAAATACATTTCATAGAAAGCTTCAAACGCCTCAGTAGGCTTGTTTGCTTGTTTCACTCATATCTTTTTACAGGTTTCACTAGTCTTTCAAACTTTGTTCCAATTTCTTCATTAGGATGACTAGATCGTGAAGCAGGATGATTATTGTTATTATTATTACAACAGAAACAAATAGCTGGACAGATGTCAATAAGCTCAACCGCTTAATCAGCTGTAACATACATTTAGAGAAAAGTGGTAGGGAAACCCAGAAAAACTTCCCCTTAAACCGCCTGCATTTTGTAAACGGACTATTCTGATGTGATTATTGTTTTTATTGAATTAATGTTTGGTACTGTGTTGTCCATTTATGTAATTGTATAAAAAATATGCTATACTCTAACATCGTTTGCACAGAGTGTTCCGTTTTTTTGTTTGTAACAATATTTTGGTGCTAGACTTAGTTAAATAGAATCGGAAAAATTCCCAGATGTATGGCTGGAATGGAGGAGCTACGAAAAGGTTAATACAGCGCTGTGCCTCACTAACTCCCAATACACTTTCCTAACTTACCTGAAATAACAAGACTGGATCGTAGTCTCCTCTATTCCCAGTTAAAGCTCTGAGAGGTAAAATATAAACAATAAGTAAAATGTTTAGGGAAATAACTGGCGTAAGCCTAGATGAATAGATTGTTTAGAGAATAGCCGGCTCTCTAACCCTGGCTACTGAACCGGAGCACTCCATTATGTTTTTTTATTATTTTTATTTTTATTTTGTGTAAGTTTGTTACACGAGTAGTTTTGGGTTACCCATGTCTTTTATGTAAAATAATCATTTGTACGGTCTCATGTAGCACATATACAATGTATAATACAGTACTCTAGTTTTTTGTGTTATAGTGTATTTATGTATGACTGTTTTTAAGATAATCAAGTTGATACAAAAGGGACTTAGTAGACTAGCCATGCACATGAGTCCGGTGAAAGCTCCTGCGGTGTGTGTGTTCTTCACAGAGGGAACAGATAGCTTTCAAAATATAAACTGATGCGCTCGAACTCACCCATTAAGTATATCTTTTCCGACTGTTGCCAAATTTCCGTTTTCCAATATAGGGGATAAGCTATTACCGTAATATCCGGACCTGGGACAGGTTGACTTATTCGTTTTGATGTTCCCAGAGAACAAAAACACCATACGTTGAAATGCATTCATTCCATTAGGATGATAACCGATAACTTGAGTAACTGTAACCCGATTTTGATCATATTTGATATAAATAAACATTTAGTAAACCTTACGTTTATTCAAATGAGTTTGCGAATCAGCATGCTTAGGCTATGAGGACGGAGTTCTAGGGAGCCGCGGTAAAAATTGGTTTTTCTTTTTCATTCCTAGAACATAAAATGTTTGAATTGTTTTTCAAACATTTTTGTAAAGCTTAGAAACTCAAATGATGATTTAGTAGATTAAAGTGTACTTTATATGGTTCTAGAGAAAAACGGTAAATCTGAAATTTCCATGTTATTTTAAAAATAATAAATAATCTTAAGTAATTTTCTTTTATGGCAAATTGATTTATTTCATACTCGACTTTTAGTGTTTCTCTAAAAACACACTTTACTGTCCTGTAGCAGCAAACCTAAGCACTCACTAAACTTAAGGTTTGATATAGGAAATACATTTTACAAGGTAAACGACATATTTTAAATATCTTTTGCCATCCCAGATTCAAGAACTTGAATTATACGTATTAGATTTACGTTTGTTGTAGTTGCCCGAGTTCTTCTCCGTAAGAGATTTTCATCACCCCATGAATTTCTCCACCTTGTGTTTCATCTTCAGGTGTCTTCTTGAATTCATATTCTATAACTACACTAATTTATATTTACAATAATATTTACACACATGGTCACTAGTACTGCGGTTGGGTCAATCGGACAGCGACGATGTAGACTTGGCGGAATCATCGTGGATGGTCTTTCTTCCTCAGTTTCATTTCTAGACTTAGGGATGTCGGCATTTGGGCCGATCGACGGTTGAGGTTAATTTGACTCTCCTGGTTTATGGTCGGTGATTTGATCTCTGTTGTTGCTGATGGTTTGGTGCTATGTTTCCAGTTTTGTTTGTTTCAATGTCGCTTTTGTATATTAATTTGAAAATTGTAGGACTGGTGTAGTCTTCTTTTTTGTTTAGGAGGGTGTTCGATCCATTTATATTTTGTAGCTTTCTTTTACTTTTGCCATGGGATTTTGAGTCGGTTTTATTCTGAATTGTGAGGGAGTCGGGAATCGTAGAGTTGTTATGATGACTTGTGTCATGCTCTTTAAATAGTTGACCTGTTCTGTTGGTGTAACCTGTGGTATTGGTTGTTAGATGGTGGTTATAGGAAATATTTTTGTGACTCTCCCATCTTTAACTAGCCTGTCTTTTATATAAGGAATTTTGTAATTTGGAATGAGGTTGGTTTTTACTTTATAGGTAGGTGGGTGTCCAACTCTTTGGAATTTTTAGGTTGATTTGTCTATATAGTTGGTGGATACGTACGTATCTTTTGGTTGGGTCATGTACGTCTGGTTGTATCCTTTTTCATTTGGCTGGTTATCGTGTCAAACCTCGAATGGTCTAATGCTGACAATCCCAGTCTAAGAATTGAAACGGAGGAAGAAAGACCTACTGCCATGATGACTACGCCACTTATTCATCGACGTGTTGTCCGATCGACCCCTACCGCTATTGTACTAGTGACCGTTTATGTATCAATATTTTTGTAAATTTAGACAATAGGTTAGTAATAGGGAGATAAATTCAAGAAGACCCCTGAAGACGCCGCACAAGGTGGAGAAATCCATAGGGCGACACAAACATCTTACCTGCAAGAGGTCAGGCAACAACAACAAAGGTAAATGGGACAATTTTTTGTCAAACACCAATCAGGCAAATAAAAATGTTCCTAGTCTGTAGGTTTGCTGCGGCGGGGGATATTTATTCCTCACAATTTCTTAGCGATTTACTGGTAAGTCTACTGGTCCTTGTGGAGTGTAATTCAATTCCTATCTAGATTTGGGGCATATATACGTTTTTCTGTTTTTGCTGTTTTTCTGTTCTGTGTAATGTAGTTATTTTTGTTATTCGTTCACAATATTTAGGCAGTTTTTGGGGAAGAATCCCCTCTACTTGATCCTTACCTTTGAAATAATAGCTTAACAGCTGATTAAGTAACATACTGTACATTAAATACAAAAAAGTAGTGGGGGAACTTCCCCTCAAACCCCTTAATTATTGTGAACGGAGTAGTAATGCAGAGTCAACAATCATGTACACCATGTAGTTATAAGTTTCTTTTCTCTTCGTATCATTCTGTTAACATTTTATGCTACATGACGGTGCTAGGAAAAAGTAAAGTTTGTAAAGTCAGTAAATCTTAATGTGTTATTGTAGTCTTGTAGAATATAAATGTTAAGAAAATTGTTCTTGTTGGTTTATTTTTTGTGGTATTCAAAGGAAAGAGTAAGGGGTGTAAATTCAAAATTTGAAAGGGGTCAGATATTTTGAAAGAGGGCAGAATTTTAATCTGCCAGGGGCATACATCATATACCAACCCTATCCAGAGGTATTATTAATTAACTTCATATAAGTATCCCAAGTAATTTTTAAAACCTTCCAGCCTAAACTTGTATATAAAAAAACTTTTGCAAATATTATGACAGCTAGCCTACTACTGGACGGAATTACACGAGGGTTGTACCAAAAGAAAGGTTATCGGTCCTATGCAGATGGTAAATAAACAGTACTAACATCCACTGATGGTCGTGATAGAGGCTCATCTTCAATAGCCATAAATAGCGACTCTGCCATGTTCCGTTTCCTCCAATCCGGTTCTTTGTATAGAATTTTGCTGGAATCCCATTTTACTGTATGATTTGTCTCTAATACATGTTCACAGATTCTCGAGCCATACCTATCCTTATTTTTAACCTTTTTAACGTGTTCGTTAATCCTCACCGTCACTGGCCTTGACGTTTGCCCTACGTAGTTTCTACCACACGAACAAGGAATTTTATAGATAATATTTTATAGAACTTCGTATCGCCTAAGTTATAGGTTTCCCCTAAGACAGACCGATGGAAAGAAAGTACCGTTACGTTTAATTTTCAAGATGATCTCGTTCGCATCGCTCAATCACGTCCTGGTTGAAGTTCGTTCGCTACGCTCACTCACCTTTGGGTTGGAGCTTGTTCGCTACGCTCACTCACCTTTAGGTTGGAGCTCGTTCGCTGCGCTCACTTGCCTTCAGGTTAGCTCGTTCGCTACGCTCACTCGCCTCCAGGTTGAAGTTCGTTCGCTACGCTCACTCACCTTTTGGTTGCAAATTAGCTGTTGTCATAAATGTAAAAGAAATAATAGTGCTGCACCCTGTTGGTAATCCTTGTAACTTTAATGCTATTGAACATCATAGAACAGAACCAACTTGTTTAATTGAAACAGCTGTTAAGATTCATTAATTCCATTTCTGATAAGGTTAACATGGGAAACTCCAGAGCCACTGGGGCGAAGCCCTTTTAAGAATTTCGAAACGGGAAATAGTTTACTTCCTATTCGCATACCTACAGAATTTACACACCAAATTTCATAACGATCGGTGAAGTCGTTCCGGAGGAGTTTGCAGACAAACACTGTGACACGAGAATTTTATATATTAGATTTTTTGTGTTTTGCTGTTCATTTTCAGGTTTTAGTTTGGTGAGACGGCTACGAATTCCTAAATTGCATAAACCAGGCATCCCTTTGCGTCCGATATTAAGTGCAATTGACTCACCGTACTACCAACTATCTAGGTTCCTCTTACCATTGCTGACACCTTACTTTGGTCAATCTGATAGTTTTATAAGAGACTCAAAAGATTTTATTGACAAAATAAACCCACACAAACCCAGCAATAGCACTATGCTCGTCAGCTTTGATGTGACGAACTAATTCCCTAACGTTCCGATCGACCCTTGTTTGACAATTGTGAGGGAAAAGCTTGAAAACGACGTCAATCTAGAAGATAAAACTAAGATCCCCATATCCAACATTATGGAACTACTAACAGTCTGTACTAAGTCAAACTACTTTCAAGTTGAAAATGATTTTTTTGAGCAAACCCAGGGTATGGCGATGGGCGGGGTTCTAAGCCCCATCTTAAGCAATATTTTTATGGATAAATTTGAGCAGGATGCAATTAGATCATTTCAAACCAAACCAAGAATCTGGCTGCGCTATGTAGATGATGTGTTTTGTATGTGGGAGGATTCAATGGAAGAGCTTATGAAATTTAAAGACCACCTAAATAATCAATTAGACTCCATACAATTCACTATTGAACTTGAAAAAGACAATAGGTTACCATTTTTAGACGTACTAGTTGAAAAATTGGATCAAGGCTGGCTTACTAGCGTCTACCGAAAACCCACTGCTACAGGACAATATCTAAACTTTGCTTCTAATCACCCAACTCATGTCAAAACAGGCTTGGTTATCGGTCTTATCAAACGGGCTAAATCTATTTGCAGCAACGACAGCATACTTAAAACAGAACTAGACAGTATAAAACAACATTTAAACAACTGTGGCTATCCCCAATCTATTTTTAATAAGGCCCTAAACAAAGTAAATAACTCCAGATTAGAAGTGATTAGAAGCAAAGTTTAGATTTTGTCCTGTAGCAGTGGGTTTTCGGTAGACGCTAGTAAGCCAGCCTTGATCTAATTTTTCAACTAGTACGTCTAAAAATGGTAACCTATTGTCTTTTTCAAGTTCAATAGTGAATTGTATGGACTCTAATTGATTATTTATAGCCCTCTATATTATAGCCCTCTTGGCATTGAAATAATCAACCCCAACGTCAATACAGTATGATTATATAATTTTACATTTAATTTAACAAAAAAATATTATATTTAAGACCGGAAGGGGGGTTCGGACCACCAGTGTTGCTATGCTGAGTGCATGGAGTGCCTTGATTAGATTTTTATGATGGTTTTGCCCTTTTATGAACTCTTTTTACCCAGTAGAGTGGTAGTTTAATTTCAACCTAACTATAAAGTAACCTATGAACTGGTAAATTCAAAAACAAGATACAAAATGCACTTAGTAATATTGCAAATCACTTGAAGTTTAATTTGGTGTAGTAAAACGTTCAGTTAACCTTGTTAAATAGAAGTAGGTAATTTTTACATTTAGAGTATTATGTATCCATCTTTGCTACACATATATCACTGAGATGGTACATTTAGGTTAACTTCTAAACTTTCTTTAATCGCAAGTGTTAACAACACTTATAATCCTTTGGAAGCAGAGTAATAAATTATGAAATGGGAAAGAATAAAAAATAAGCTGTCTGAGTAATCGAGTGGCTATATAGTGCTTGCCTTCAAATCAGGCCCCTTACACAAAAAGGTAAAAAAGAGTAGAAACACAAATAAATAAAATAATGAATGTTTATTAGGATAAAAAAGTAAAATCACAGTATTTACAAAACATCAGAGAGCATTAAAAAAGTGTAGAGTAATAAATATACAAATATGCTACATTAACCACATTTCACAAGCAAGAGATAAAACTACATTGATACATTTTTTTTTTAATAATAATATTTTTTCAAACTTAATATCTATTAACTATTATTATATAAGGTTTTGTACAGATTTTTCAGGCAAAATTTTGTGCAGGTCCCAGGATATTCTTCTTTTTTGGAATGACAAGGTCCGGTATTTTGGATTTGGTTGGTCTCCTTGCACTCCTAGTTCTCATGTTTTCTTTATTCTGTAAACACAAATAACATGTTAGTTGTGACAGATTACACAGACAGGCTTACACACAACTACTTTGGGTATAACTCAGAAAACAAACTCATCACTTGCTTACAAAACCCGACTTTTTCGTTGTTTTTTAGTATGGAGTTTATTGAAGGTTGTAAAATATCGTTTTTGTTGATGAAGTTTGTTTGTTTGGTCATTGTTTCGTTGTTTTATAATGCATTTTTAACACTAAACGAATTAAAGGTGCTCAGAGATGTACTGCACTACCGACTGACTACCACGACTCAAATGTCAGCGACCCAATGTCACAGAAATCGGTAACAACTGTTAGCATTATCTGGCCTCTCTTATACCTGTACTTGATGTCCCAATATCGAAAACCCTTAAAATTGTCGTACCTGGATCCACTTCAACCCCCCCCCCCCAAACCAGGCCCTTTCCGCCACCACTACACACAAAACTAACCCCCTGAATCGAGTACACTGACCTACTTAAAGTCACAGCCTTCTGTAGATCAGCACAAGAGACATTTCCTATGCCAAAATTCACCGCCGGTGCAATTAGTGAGTGAAAAGCACCAAAATGGGTTAGGGAGTGTAGAAACTGCTGTGAAAACCTTTTTCTTTGTGGTCTTCTGTGAGATGTCTGGGTACCCAAAAAAACACAATCCCTTGACATTTGATGGAAATATTCCACTCTTTAACCCATTACTGCACTTTACCTTCTATCATTTGCATTAGGACCATAAACTATCTAGTCATATGCCGCTGAATGTCTGAAGGCCTTATTTAAACAGCCACTACTTAAAAAAATGTATTTATTTATGAATGAAGAATTTTCATACGTACAGCATATTTGTTTAAGCAGTTTTTAAACTATGTACTTACATCGTCTGTTACATTCAAGTCTGGCATGGAGGTAGACCTGCGGCCCAGTCCTGAGCCAGCCCTCGGCGTGGAGTGGGTGGAGGAATCGGTGCGTCTGTCTCCAGTAGATCCAATACTGCCAGTGGATTTTTCCTAGAGAAAATCAATCGAAACGGTTAGTTTGCACTACAAATTAAGACGACACAAGGAAGATTACGATGGAGTTTGTAATTGAAGACAATCTTTCTCTGTGATTGACAAAGTGGTCTGTGGTCACTGACCAAGAAAAGTCTGAAATTTGAGAGTATATTTGTGAGTCACAGTACCTCAAAAGACTAACCAACAGTGCGGGTAAGCCTGTTCCTACTATAAAAAAATTAAAAAATACAGTGTGATAACTTACAGTTGTAACTGGAATGTCTCCATTGAAAAACGGGTCTGCAGGCAAATACTCCTTAAAGTTCAGGTTTTCATTGGGTACAGATTCAGCTTCTGGGTACTTCTCTCTCAGTTTCCTCACCAACTCCATCCTCGGTGCAGTGGCGACAAACTTCCTCGGATACTGGAGTTGGTCCTTGCTGATCCTCTGAGGAGTCGATCCTGAAACACATGTGAAAACTGTGTTTGAAAACATTCCTGTTGTGTATTTCGTCAAGCATTCACAGTAGAAACTTGATTACAAGCCTATCATGGGGATTACCAAATATGACTTGGTTATCAAGGTCTTGTTAACGAGGTTCCACATTTAAGTGGTCAACCAAAAATGATTTTACTCAACAAAGTACTAATGTTCATTTAACTTACATCATTAGATAAGATCTTATGGTATCGTATCAAAATGTAACAGAATATTTATTTATTCATCTCGGCATTACAGTAAATACATGCAGTTTCAACAAATCAGGTTCCTGTGTCAACAGTGACCAGTGGGAACGAATCAGTGTTTCTCCACAACAATAAAATTCTTAAAACATCTTCTGATGGAGATGGATGTATATTAGGGAAGTATATCATCCAAAATGTGAAGCTGAAGAAAATGATAAATGATTCTATCAGTACGGACAAATTAAACAAATTTGTCAAATATTCAATTATTAAACACATATAGTAATATTTGAAGAAAGGTTATAGTGCGAAGTAAGTAAAGATAACAATTCATTCTATTCAATTTAAAAAAGTAGTTACACGAAGCAGAACTGGAACAAAACGACGAGCGATTTCTATTCTTTGATGACTTTTGTAACATAACTTCATAGAAGGAAATAAAATAATAATGCTTGAACAGAAAATTATTACAGAAATGTGTACATGAAATAGGGATACAAACCTTGAGGAACATATTGTTTATAGCTGATCGATTTTAAATTCTCCTCCAACGCCTGAACCACTTGAGAAAGCTCAGGTTTTTCATTCATATTCTGCAGTTTAGTTTGAGCCACGTTATTCTGTTCCCTTAGCGTTTTTTCAAAACGTGTTTCATTCTCAATAAGTTTATCTGTGATTTGTTCAACGAAATTCTCAACTTTACTTTCAGACGCCTGCAAAAAATTCAATACTTAAGTATAAAAAACACATCTTGATTTCACTACCATACAAATTGTTGATATACTAAACGAGTAAATAAATACAGTAAATTAATGGTAAGTGATAAGAAAATTCTGAAAAGAATAGGCAGAAACATTAAATAAAGCAGTATAGTACGCTCTAATTTATACAGATTTCGCTTTCAACCCAAACAACCATTAGATAGAAGCTAGCTGTTACCCACGGGCTTCATCCCCGTTTGACTTCATAAGTATTAATAAAACTATTGATTGGTTAAGTTAAGGGGATTTGCCACTGAAAATAGGTAAAAATCATGAAAAATGGTAAAAATATTTTTTTTCATTTCTTTGTACATTGGACCCTATTGCATCCAAAAAGTATGATATAATCCATGTATGAATGTTATTATATGTTATAACCAAGGGGTTTCGCTCTTTACGATAGCTACAAGATCATAGGACACCTTCTCATTCAAACGCGGTTTTCCGCAACATTGAAATTTCACATTTTTCAATACAAAATTTTATATATCTTGAGAGCCACTAAAGGTACATTGTTGAAATTTTTACTACTTATTCTAGACAATATTAGGAAAATATTTAGGTAGAATTAGGTATCTAAGTTAATTAGGTACTGAACAATAACGTTTTTTTTTTCAAACTAATTCTTTTTTCTGAAGAAAAATTATATTTAATGTGTCACAGCAAAAAAAGTATGTGAGATATTACTATGAATCTACCTAAATATTACGTTTAGATAACTGTCTTTAAAAAAACACCAAATTTATCAAAATCCATAAAGAACTCTCTTCAGAATATCGATTTATAAAACCCCTAACAAATTGATCGAAAAACCTCTATTTTATTTTTTTACCACCTATAATTTATATTTAGAAGTAGCCTAAACCAAAATTTTTCCATTTTTTGTTAAACAGTACCCTAGTAGAAAAAAAATAGTTTCACGACTTTCCTCATTAAATAAAAAAATTCACCCTTTTCAGTGGCGAATCCCCTTAAGCTGAAATAAACATAACAGAATACAGTACAAACAAATAATCACCCTTTTAGAAAGGAATTACGATCTTAACACTAATCCTGAAACCATACCCAGACTGACGCTAACCGAAACATCCGGTCTGTGAGACCCCATTTGAAAATAATGGACCCCGCTTAGAAACACAAACCGAAACACTGGGCCTGTGAGACCCTGCTTTAAATAAAATACACTAACACTGGGCTTCTGAGACGGGCATGTTATGAACAGACAACCTGTCAAGGTGTCGGCACCCACACAAAATGATGAACAAACAATATATCAACAGGTAGGGAAGGAAAAGGGGTTGGGGGAATGGAATCCTCCAAGTAAACAGTGTTGCCAACATACGTTTGTGAAAATTCCCGTGGGGTTGTGAGACTGGGGTTTGCACAAGGTTTCTCGTCATGACAAACATTTTAAGTGTTTATGGGGGTGTGACTTTTAGTTTCCTAAAAGGTTCATGGGTACTTTGGGATTTATATATGGATTTGTAAAATTTAAATAAAGCTAAACTTTTTTTTAAATTTGTGATGATAGGCTTACCAGAATGGGAAAGAGTACAAACTGGAACAAGACGCACATAACTTGAAAAAAAAAACTTTACAGACAACAATTCTAATTAAGGAAGATAAGCCTGCTATCCACACAAAAATCCCAAAAACCTAAGCCAAAAACTTACTAAGTTTTGTTGCACAGTTTTTAAAGTCCAATTCTTTACATACCTAAGCTTTTTTAAATAAAACTGAATTTAAAATATACAAGGGATACCTACAGTCCTGGAATAGTGCTGACTTAGGACTTTTTTATTACTGAATATAGATATAATTTTCTCATTTAGAAAACATAGATAGGCCTACATGCTCTATTTCATATCCTTAACTTGAACATAAATACAGTTTTACGGCACTTATTGTTTCAGTAGACAATTCTTATACTTCTATTCTTTCATGCGTTACCTAAACCTAAATAAAATTCATAGTACAAAATAACGTGATACAAAAGTAAACTTACCACAACAGTTTGAGACACTTGTTCTGTAAATATGCTAACACTGTTTTCCAGTCGTGAGAGGTTTTCCTGTTGTTTTCCACATAGAACTTGTACTTGCTCTATGTTCTGCTTGACTCCATTCTCAATATGTTCAACATGTGTGTTTACTTCATTCACTAAACTATCAACATTTTCTTTGATCTGTAACAAATTAACAAATGAGTTTTTTGTTAGTTTAAAAAAATAATAGTTCTGCAGCCCTGTAAGTGTTATGATAGTACCAACCCCTATATTTGCTTAACCCTTCCCGGACGGGTGACGGATATATCCGCCTAAGTCTTTGACGATAAAGGACGGGTGGCGGATATCTCCGCTTATGGTTTTTGATGTTCCGGACGGGAAGCTGATATATCCGCCTTCTCTTCAGACAGACTGGCAAGTGCTTGAGCAGTAACCAGATGTTTTGCGGTACCAAGGCACCACTTTCCTGCCCTCTCCATGGCTGCGCTCTCTCCCACACTCTCCCCTCTCTCCCGCGCCTACCCTCTCCCGCGCCTCCCCCTCTCCCGTGCCTCTCCTACGCTCCCCCCTCGACGTTTTGCCCTCAACACTACGTTGTCATTATTTATTGTTTACATATTGTTCTTTATTTGTTGCCTAACGTTGTCATGGTCATTATTTCAAAGACGGGTGGCGGATATCCGCTGCTTTTCTACTCATCCGCGGACAGGTAGCGGATATATCCGTATAGTTAAAACCGAGTAAAAAATTATTTTGACAGTATGAAGTGTTCCATTGTGTTTATTTTATGTATACTTGTATAACAAAACACAAATAAGAAAAATTAATTTTTATTTTTTCCTATAATTTTTTCCCGTTCTATGTCACGATTTTGCCCGTCCGGGAAGGGTTAAAGTTCCTAGTTCCTACATCAGTATAATTTCTCAGCGAGTTTGATAGTAAAGAGTTCCGTATCCTAAGTCTACTTAAGTACCGTTCAAAATTGATGGTAAAGTAGAAATAAATTGTCCAAACTCCCAATTATCTGAATCACCTAAAACAAAATTTGTTTACCAGAAAAATTAAACTCATTGCAGTTTGTGATAATAGAGTACATATTTTAAATTTTGTCAATCGTATCAATTATGCTTGAGATATATTAAACCGCATGTAGCAAGGTAAGATCTAGACCACCAACCGATTTCTATAAAATATAGTTTTGTGAACTGAAGCGTTGTTGTACAATGAAATACTACAGAGAAAAGATATACATTTGCCCATTTTATTCTTATAGAGAAAGTAAATAGTTTGCTTGTTTATGGATGTATTTTAATAAAATTTGGCTAATTTATTTATTTCATATCATCGTAGTCTTCCGCGATCACGACGGAATCATTAATATCACCTGCGGCTGTGTAGACATCATCATTGTCTCTCCCAGTCACAGAAACGTTGTTGTCATCTTGCGCATTCGCAACAATAGCGGTAATACCATGACAGGTATGGTATTGGTATCGACTTTTGACGATCGATTCTTGATACCAACACCAACGTCTAAGTATCAGGTGGTATCGAGAATCATCACACCCCTAATTTAAATATAGTGTCCATACCAGCGGAAATTCATGAGAAGGAAACACAAACGTTTTTTGGGAAAGCAATCCAAACCTCTCAAGTAATTCTGGTTTTGAAGGTTCGCTGCAGCCTACTACTGAGCTTACCTCGCTCGATAGAGTCTTCTCCTGTTCTGATTGTTGTTCACTAACTGTTTTCACTTCCTCAACGTTTGATTGGATAGATCCGAGTATCTGCAGATTAGACATAGCTGTTTCTTTCAAAGATTCCGCTCCCTCCTCTGTGGCTGTTGCGCCCGCCAACACTGAGGCGGATTCAGACTTGATAGATGCACAACTGCCTTGTGCGGCTGTCAGGATTGACATCACTTGCTTGATATTCTGAAAAAAAGAAAGGTTAGTGGTAGTTGCCACACGCTATAAATCACTCACCAATGGTTTAGAAACATTTTTTTTTAATAACTCACTTTCTCCCATTAAAATGCACAATGGTCCAGATTAGCTTCTAAAATATTTGTTCAAAGGCTTGTGACGGTGCAATTTCGTCCTGGGACAAAATTGTACTGTCGGCCTCGGATAGCTAATCTAATTGAGTTAGTCCAGGGTTAGTGGTAATAATAATAGTATTTAGTTTTTAAAATATGGGCTCAGATATGGTCGTTAAAGCATCAGCTTTCAGTAAATGACACATTCATCACTGCCCAGGTTAGGCCTTAATTTAAACAAATTAGTAATTTGGCGTTAATTCTGTGAGTGAAACACTGGTCGTAATTAACTAAAATCTTAACTTCGAAAATAAAAACAAACCTCTACTTAATGGATATACCGTGTTTCACTTTTGGAATTAAAACCAACTATACTTACAATTAACCGAATCGATTGTCGCGGGTCCACGAGCTATTTCGCCCTGGCCTAACACCTACTATTCGACGACACCAGAGTTATTTCACCACTGGCTAATTACCGGGCTATTCCGCCCTCGACCTACGGTTTCGCGGTGTATATGCGCGGATCCGAGAGCTTTTCCGCCCTCGGCCTAACCCTAGTATTCGACGCTTCCAGGGTTATTCCACCACTGGTTATTACCGGGCTATTCCGCCCTCGACCTATCGTCTCGTTATATCCGCGGGCCCGAGAGCTATTCCGCCCTCAGCCTAACCCTAGTATTCGACGCTTCCAGGGTTATTCCACCACTGGTTATTACCGGGCTATTCCGCCCTCGCCCTACCAGGGAGATGTTGCTAGCTATTCGCCCAGCACTCAAGTCCGACTGTCCCGTGTCCTGCGCGGCTTTTATAGGGATCGCGACGCTAGCGCAGTACGTGACCGCTCGGAGAACTAATGACCTTGCGCGGGACATTTGAAATCGTCTGAACGCTCGCTTTCTGATCTCGTAATATTTTTACCGTTACAGGCTGTTCCAAGCTTTTAGTTAAACCCTTAGAATTTTTTAACAATTTAAACAAAAAAATGGAAAACTAAAGTAAATTTTTAAAAGTGGCAAAAAATGTTAATGTTTTAAATTATAGACCAGTGGCAGTATTGTCTATACCATACTGGTATAGGCCTATAGAGGAATCTCGATCACATCCACATGACAGATGGGCTAAAATACACCCAGTTGCGTTTGGGTGAAGTTCAAGAACTCCAAATTTTGCCAACTCTAAAAAAAAAAATATTTTAATAAACAGAGCGATTGACAAACTCCAAATTTCACCAAGTCCAATAGCAAAAAAAAAAAAAAATGTTAAATATTTATCGTTCCACAAGCTCCAAAATTCACATATATCAAAAGAACAGTCCTGGCCAGCAGTTGCCACGGTCAGATATCAGACTCCACACAATATACGGTGTAAGCCACGCGCCGCAAAACAAAATTGTTGGTCTGTTAATGCTTTGTAAAGAATGTAGAATTGAAAACCTAATCCAACCCAACCTAACCTAACCATGGCGGACAGTGCCTGCAATGTGACCGTGGAAACCCCTGCAGCAACTTCTGGCCGGGACTGTATTTGGTGAATTTTGGAGCTTGTGAAACGCGCTGCTTATTAAATTAACGTCATTGGAGTTTGTGAAAAACTCCCTTGTGTTTCGATACCAGTAATTGATGATAGTAATACAATACTTAAAACTCCACACTCACTTCGTTGAACTGGTCGACAAGGGTGTTGATTATTATTGGTTTAGCAATAACTTCTTTATTTTGATGTCTTATAGCTTCAACTTGATCAACAATTTCAGTGGAAAACTTCATCAACGACACATGGCTCTCTGTGATTTCAGAGATCAGCTTCTTCTGTCTGGTTTCGAACTGAAAACATATTTACACTTGTAATTATGTAAATAAATACACAGGAAATACTTTCTATCTGATTCAGAATGATGTCACAATGATATGATTTGATTTAAAAATCAAATAAAACAGACAACATAATATCAGTTTTAAATTGTAAAATATTTATTTCAGTGGTATCAGAATCAGATATAGATAATTTTCAGAGAAGCACATAGTTAGGTATACATTACTTAAGAGATACACAACTAAATTGCCTAAAACAAATTTCTGACAGTGATAGCAGAAAGTCAAAGAGTTAACGACAAATTAAACTAGATATTTTGATCAGTAATGATAAATAAGTAAATTCAGTTTTTGTTTCTACCTTGGCGAGATTATTGCTTCCCTCCTCAGTGACTTTGGTGATAAGATTCAGCTGATCTTGAATGTTCTTCATCGAGGGCAGAATATGTGACTTGATCACGTCTTTGTAAAGGTTTACAAAGTGTTGTATTATTTCCTCCCCTCGTGACTTGCAAGAATTGACTTCACCAGTAAACTCCGTTTGCTGGAACAAAACAAGAAACGACACCTTAAAAACTATTAATTAATCACTAAAAAGATCAATGTAAAATATACATATGACTTTCATAGTCACCTGTCATCGTATATCTACAGGGAGTCTCCTTAACTACCTTACAAAAAATTCCAAACTGGCACATGAAACACAATCTTTACACTATATGCACAAACATGGGACTATTTTACTGTCACTGACAGCATTTTAAACTAAGAAGAGAGGTTTCAGGCCTACTGGTCCATAATAACTACTATGGTCCATTAGGCCAGAAAACTCTCTCTTCCTTAGTTGAAAATGCTGTCAGTGACACTGAAATATTCTAATGTTTTGTGTATATGGTGTAGTTTTGTGTATATGGTGTAGTTTTGTGTGTCTTGTGCCAGTTTGGACTCTTTCCCATTCAGGTAAGCCTACTACCTGTGGAGCTTAACCTCAACAATTAAAATGTCCCAATAAGAAGGCACTCTTCAGGTCACGTGAGTGCTAGCGCATGCGCGAGAGCGAGGAGACGACGAGAGATGACTAGAAGTTTTGTCTTGCCGCTGCCATCGAACATCCAACATGCGTACGTGCTAGGACGCTAGGGACAGGGGGTAAGGACCCCACATTAGTTACGGTGTTAGGTGTTAGTAATGTAATTATTCTGAATTCACATAATTGTTTTCAGGTCATGTAGTCAAAAATGTTCATCTAATTTCCTGTGTCATTATTGTAATATTAATATTTCTGTATTTAATGGGTTATTATTTATTATTATTTAATGGGTTAAATCATCAAAGCTGGCTTTTTGGGCCTGTGACTAGCGGTAAATTGTCTCCTCAGGTTGAATAAATGAGGCCAGTTTTCGTTTCCAACACGAACAGTTTGGTTATGGTAATCATTCACATGACCAATTCACCCAAAATGTAGCCGTGTGTACCACATGCTACCCTCACTAAATATTCAAATAGTCTAGGCCTCTGTACTCTGTGGCACAACCTTAACATACAAAAATTGGGGAAATTCAGGTCTGGTTAGCTATTTATTATGCTTTACGCTACAGTGGCAAATTTTCTTACGTTTACCTATGTGGTAGTAAATTAAACATATACATACATATTAGTCATATTACAACAAAACACGTGTTATCAGCTGACAAGACAAAAGTTCGTTGACTTTGCACATCACAGTAACAGCAAAACCTCCAGCTTGTAACCCCAGTAATTGTGCTCAAACTTTCAACAACAAAATTTTACAGAACATAAAAATGTTGTAGTTTACCAAAATGATTACTTCTTTTATAAAAAAATATATTAAAAAATCTGGGATACATTATAAAATTCTGTAGGGTTTTCAGGACATCTGTGATCTGAAATTGGGGTCTTATCTTGAAGAAGAGGTTCAGAGAGCTGTAGACACCCTATACTAGGATGAAGATGAACAAGAAGTATTTCAATACATACCTTATTGTGAAGTGTTTCATTCCTTGACTGTGCAAGGGCTTTCATCTGGTGTTCAAAAGATTTAATGGTTGATAAAACATTATGGTTCTCTTCTTCAAATAATCTGTTCACAGTACCTTAAACAAAATCAATTGATAACTTAAAAACTTAGGCTCCATCTTATTGATACTAATTTACAAAGATTTTAATGGGTTCTTGGTATCAAATGCGCTTTGCTGATCAGTCTCAAAAAGAATTTATAATTGTATTGTTAATCGATTTGTATGTCAAGTATTCAAACAAAATGTACCCATTTACGTTTTCATGTGGAGTTTTTTAAGAGAGCATATAATATTGAAGATAAATGTAGATTTCATCTAGCTTATAAATTTAACTCTGATACTTCATCACAAAAACAGATCACAAAGCTTACTGGCATTTTTGATAACTTCTTTCACAAACTGCTTTTCTTCGTCAAGGAACGAATCAAGCTTGCTTTTGAAGTCCGCAACCTTCTTGCTAGCATTTTCCTTGTAGCGACCCAACATCTGCAGGTTGTCTGACTCGTTAGACCTGTGAAGCACAACAAGTTTGCAATTTATAGGAAAAATTGAAATTTCATACATTATACCTAAAAAGAACTAAATCAAGTAAATATACGATTTTCAAATATAGCAACAATGTCTTATCAAGGCTAAACAAAACTTAAAACATTTATTCTTACTGTAAAAACATACTAGACCTAATGTTTACAATAAAGTTGATCAATTTTAGTTTTTTCTATTTTCAAGCCCATTTCATTATTACCAAACTTGTCTAATTGAAATTTTCTTTAATATTCTTTGACGTTTAAACCATCTGACATTCACTATATTAAATGATAGGCTGAAATAAATGGGTGACTGCAATAAAAATATAACATGAGGTTTAAATTATTATAACGTCTTCAATCACGTTTCATCTGCATAATTTTTCTCTGATAACAAACACAGAGGATGATTTGGACAAATATTTACTTACTGCTTTCTATCAATTTTGTCGTGCAATCGATTGCTCTGGTCTAAGAGGTTTTCCAGCACAGACTTGCAAGTTTTTGCTTGCTCTGTCAGACTGCCTTCGGTCTTTTCATATTCTTTGATAAAATATTCCCTGACAACGACTTCCTTTGCGAATTCTTTCATCTTCTCTTGACATCTTTGGCTTTCGATTCTGAACAGATTATCAAGCTCTTCATATTCGGCACACTTGTCGTCAAAGTCGGAGCTTAAGGAACTGAACATTTCCTAGAGCAAAAATACTGTATTAAATCGAGCTATGAGTACTAATACAAATATTATAAAAACTAGTGCACCTGTTGCTCGAATTCAAGCAATTGCATAGTTAGTATTACAGGCGTTATTTCAAAACGAATAATCCTGACAGTCATATAATTTCCGATGTAAAAGAGTCAACTCCACGATAATGTAATCAACCACTCCACTCCAGTTTCCGAAACTGAAAACGAACTCACTCTGAGTTCAAGCCCGAGGACTTTTAGCCCAGGCGCATATTGAGCTGTGCGGCACGATCCGGGCAGTGCAGCACAGCACAGGGCAGAATTGGGCAAAAAGTCTGTGTTGCACAGTTGACATCGCATATTGGGAAGCAGAGTCGTACAGTTTTCGTATAGGAGTGACACAGTTTCTTGTGTGAACACGTTGTTAAATATTAGGATTTGAGTTATGAGTCAGATTCAGGTGCTGATTTAGATTTATTGTTTCTTAGAACAAGAAAGAAAGGGCGAAAAATTTGCAATGTTTAGTGATTTTTGTATTTTCTCCCAGATTTCACTCCTGTAATTACTCTTTATATACTTACTATGAATGGTAACGTAAAAAATTGATAAAAACGCACAATTTCTATTAATTATCCTCTAGATCCGTCACAAAACACTAGTCAACCCGGCGCAGGTGAGCAATGCGGCACAGACACTTGTGACTCGACCACAAGTGCGCGCAGTCCACGTGCGGGACTGCACTGCCCTGCGCTGCGCTGCGCCATAATATGCGCGTGTCCTAGCAAATACATGGTTTACAAAACACTGCCCTGCGCTGCACTACGCTGCGCTGCTCCGACTGCGTCTCAATATGCGCCGGGCCTTATAACAGGAATTGGTGAAATGGGGCGTCTACACAAAAAATACTTTCATTATTAACGGAGGAGTAGTGTTTTGTAGAAATCACCTTCACGTATTATATATAAGGATAATAGTGTGCAGGCTATTTCCTGCAAACACAGTTAAATTAAGAGATTTAACTTATATTAATTTAAATTGACAGCTTTGAATTTCCAAACAAATGGGTCTTAGGACTCAACAGTTGATTTGCCACTAAAAATCTTTTTCTCTGGTCACAATATCAGGTTTTGGATAATAAAGAATGGTTTTAAAGGACTAAAACTAAAATATGTATCTTCTACTGCGTTAAACAAGTTCAAAGAGTCAACCATTCCGTTATCAACACCATCTTTGAACGTCCTTCCTGCAAGAAGCGGATTTTCAGGATTTACGAGACAATAATTTAAAATGGAATTACCACAGTAAAGAATTACATATATTAAAAATTGAAAAAAAACTTTTTTCAATCTCAGAAAAAATTTTGGTAGAAAAACAGAATACTACACTTTTGAATTTAATTGTTATGTTATTTTAATTACCTTTGATTGTTCGTACGACTCTTTGATTCGTGAATATTTTTCATGTGAGTCTTTCACTTGGTCGTCCAGCTCTTTCATTCGGCTTATCATTTCTTCATGAGACTCTTTAGAGATATAGAACCCCTCTCCTTGCCTGACAGCTTCCAGGTCTTTTTTGAGCTTCATTATTTCTTCAGACGCAACCTATCAAAACAAAGTAAGTGTAACAAGCGAGAACAGGTCTGTTGAAGACTACATGAAGGGTATACCCAGAAACTGCTTGAAATTAGTTAAGCACAGCTTTACAATAAAGACTGTAGGCCCTACTTTGAAAAAAAATGTTGCAGAAAAAGTGTGAAGCAAAATAAAGTTTTATAAAGTTTCACCTGCATAAAGTCCTTCTTGGAGATGGTCTGGTTTCTCACTGGCTTGTTCTTGATGGATCTCGCTTTGGAAGCATAGTTCAGTGTGCTCTCCGTTTCATCCAGGTTGGCCTGCGCTGGAGATATTGTTCCGATGATGCAGGTCTTAGTCTTGCCACCAAGCGAGTCTTGTAAAAACCTTGTCAGTTTTGACTCTCTATAAACAAGAAAATCCTTCACACACCGATATCCTTAATTGTTTATTGAAGTTTATAAAATTAAATCCATGAAATATAGTGGAAATGTTAATGTTTTGAGAGTTCTATAACCAAGAAATAATTATTATTTGCTGATTACTCAAGATGTATTTTTCTTTTTCATGCTTTTAAGCACAAATGGTTAACTTTTTGCGAGAAGCACTTACTTTCTTAAGCTTAGGTTGCATTCTGAATATTTGTACCTGTAAGGGATGTGTGGGTTGTTCTCCGTCAAGCATGTTATGACTCGGCCTAACGTCAACAGAGACTTGTTTATGTTTGAAGCCTCTGCAAGTCTCTTGTTAACCCCCGTTGCAGATTTGTGTATGTTTTCGCTGGCTCCGGACTTGGACACGTTTTCACTTCCAGCCAAATCCACGAGGTGGAGTTTGCCACATCGCAGTACATCATCTTTGCCAGCAACTGCACTCTCCTTGATATTCACGTTGATCGTAAAAATTGTGTGTGATCGGCTGAAACATTCCATCATATGTTAGAAGCAAATCAAACCGATCAGCATAATAGGATCATGAGATTACTTATATGATTTGAACAACATTAACTCACCATCATCAACAATGAATTTCAAACGTACTTATATGAATTGCAACAAAAGATCATATTAGAATAATTTAAGTTTTTTTTTACACTGGTATCAAGCTCATATCACCCTAAAAGCATCTATAAAGCTTGATTTATTTCAATTAAGAATCAATAATTACCATCAAGATAAACTTTCCTATTACAGTAGTACTGTACATCTGTAACAAGTCTATCATGGGGATTGGGGATTGTCAAATATGACTTGTTATCAAGGTAGACTTCTTATCAAGTTTTGCAGTAAGTTAGGGGTGGTAAAAATCAAGAGCATCTAAAATGACACTTGTTATCATGAGTGACTTGTGATTGAGGGTCTTATCGAAGTTCCTTTGTACTACAAAAGCATAGTGTGATACAAATTATGAACTTCATTAAATTTTAATCATTAACAAAAACTGACTTGTATCTTACCTTGAGTTGAGGTTCATCTGAGTCGCAGCCACCTGTCTCTTCTCCGCTCCATGCTGAAGGAGTTTAAACACCTCCTCTTTGCTTTTGACAGGTGTTGGCAAAAGACCTTTCACAATCACTCCTCCTTCCAAATCGTCAATCAGTCTGGAAGTAAAAACACTATGTGTGAAATCCAGCAAATTGTACATGCTACTATTTGAATGTACCCAAAGCCTTAATAAAGAGAGAAGGCAAGGAAATTAAAAATCAAAACACATCTTCAGTGTTTGTTGCAACATCTACGATCATGGGAGATGGTCATTGCAACATTGTGGTGAGTCGGTGGCTCAGTTGGTAGCGTCACGGACTTTGGGCCCAAGGCAGAAGTGTCGTGGGTTCGGATCCTGGTCACTGCCACAAACTTTTATCAGTACAGTTCACCTTTGTACTGTACCGGCTCACCCCTTGCTTTGCTGGATACGTTCCACGCACAGATCTGTAGTCTATGTGGACGGGCAAATGCAAGGTTAAAAGAGGCCGCCAACCTCTTTAAAAAAAAAAAAAAAAACATTGTGATCATCTCTCCAGATTGCAGCAACATTCATGAACTTTTTTTTGTGTTCGGAATTTTTAAAGGCTCGAAAGCATTGAAAGAGAATGAATGAAACGCTGTACGTGAATGGACCATTATCCACAGGCTAATAGTGTTTATCGAAAACCGAAAACTAACTTCCCCGTCCTAAACAAAATCCAAAGACGTGCTCCTCCATAAAAAAAGTCACTTGTACTTTACATTTCCAGAAACACCTGACATGTTCTTTTTGGATAATATGCATGCAAATCTATATACATATTTTATTTTGCGTTTCAGATCATGTACAGTTAAAACGTGAAGCCACAGAAACCTTTTCAAACTTTAGAACCACGGTAATCAAACGATCAACCAAAACCCATTTATCCAGAGGTTGATACTGCTACAGTTTTTATTTGTAAATTTCTAACATTGAAACTTGAAAGTACTGTAAATTACAAGTCCAAAAATGGTGGCCATTTTGCTGTCTGAATAGAATCGTTTTATTGAATAATGAATATACATGTAATAGACAGAGTCACAATTATTATAAAGACGCATTAATGTCTAATTATCTAGAATATCCACTTTAGGATCATTTATTAAAAAGTCCAATAATCAAGAACATCTAGATCCGGTTTAGAACTATTTAAAGATTATTGATAAACTGACTTTTCTCATGATCAAACCGGCAACCAACTAGATTGAACACTCCGAAACCTAAATAAACTTAAGTTGTTAAGAATGTACCGTAGAACACAAGGGCCAATTTAAAAATTTTAAGAAATGTTTGTGAGGATAGCAGGCTTACTTGAATGGGAAGAGTCCAAACTGGCACACTAGACGTAACACTACAAAAAACATTAAATTCACTGCCACTGACAGCACTTTCAACTAAGAAAGAGAGTTTTCTTCAGGTATAAAATGGTGGCCGGGGAGTTGTTGAGACTAACAAGGTAAAAAAAGGCTGTGTGTCTTAACAACTCCCCGTCACCATTGGACCTGAAGAAAACTCTTTCTTCCTTAGTTGAAACTGTTGAAAGTGCTGTCAGTGACAGTGAAATATTCAAATTTTTTGTGTTTACAGTGTAAAGTTTGCTATCCCTTTTGCCTGTTCGGACTCTTTCCCATTCAGGTAAGCCTGCTTCCTAACAAAAAATCTTTAGTAGAGTATTTGGATTCATTTTCCCTGCTGCTTTCTGCAGACATCCATCCCCTGACTACTTTACCACAATGTTCCACAATACTTACTTAAGGTCTGTTTCTTCATTATCCTTAAGGAGACTTCGCAACCTTTCATTGTACAATTCCATGTACGACACCGACACTTGGTATTCACACGCTTGAATGGAAAGTTCATGGAACAAGTCGTGCATGGCTCTCGGGACAATTCCTGCGTGGACGCTCTACAGTAACAAATGAGTGTAATTACTCGTTGGTTAGAGATCAAATTTTTTTTTTCTTTGAGAACTTAATTTTTTGCAGTTATTTTTGTAAGCAAAAAATGTTACATAAATAGGCTACATTGAGTCTGGTGTGAAAAACATTGAGTCTTTATGCTGGAAATGTTTCCAATCCATTACGGTTCATCATCAACAGCAATAGATTGTAAATCAGCAAATGGTTCGATATTTTGTTAAACTCAAATGGACTAATAAACAAATCAACACAAAACATATTTACATCATCATTAGTTGGACGTACAGAACTAACAATCAAATTGGCTACAGCTGTTCCATAAGGATGACAAATCTACTATCTTTTATCTATGACTTAACTTACCTCTTCCCAACATGCATCAGGGTCCTGGTCCCCCGTCATGGTGTAAGTTTTCCCAGTTCCAGTCTGGCCGTAGGCAAACACTGTACAGTTGTAGCCCTGAAGCACTTCTTTGATCATCGGCTTTACAACCGCATTGTAAATGACAATCTGCGAAAATCAGCAAGCTTAAATATCTCACTGCCGGTATAAATATTAGTGGTAGGATGCATCCAGACTTGCTAAAGTAATAAAAACAACATACAATCGGTTTAACAACTGCTTGGCCAGTTTTTATTCAAATTTAGCATGTAATAACTTAGTCTTTTTTTAGCGAATTTCCCTATAGGGAAGTAGCTATTACCGTAGGTGGCACGGTAAGACCTAGACCCGGGACCGATTTACTTTTTCATTTTGATGTCCCCAGAGGCCAAAAACACTATTCGTTCAAATTTTTATATATGTAGTATATATATATATATAGACATATATGTATATATATACGTCCGTGAACGCGATAACTTGAGTAATTTTTGTCCGATTTTGATGAAATTTGGTTTAAAGGTGTAAAGCGGGATAAACTTGAATGAGTTCGCGAACCAGCACGACCGGACCATGGGAACGGGGCTTTACGGGGGGTTTTATGGGGTAAAAATTGGTTTTTCTCACTTTTGACCCTCAAAACACAAAATTTCCCAATTTCTCTTTAGACCTTTTTAAAGAGCTTAAAAAAACAAATAATTTAGTATATAAAAGTATTTTTGTTCGATTATTAGTAACGGAGAAAATTGTAAATTTAAAATTCCCATGTTATTCTTATGGAGAATATTGTCAAATGTTGTAGTTTGCTTGTTTATGAATATATATTTAATCAAACTTGGCAAATTTATTTATTTTCTACTAAGCTATCAATATTTTACTCAAAAACACACTTTATTAGTTTCCTTGTAGCAGCAAACCTAGGTACTTGTTAAACCTAATGTTATTAAAATATATTTAACTGAAAATCAATTCAGACAAATCGAAATTCGCTTAGTCGGCAGGTTTGCTGCGGCGGGGGTATTTGACTTAAAACAGTAGGCTACAACCTCTATTTCTGTAAAATTACGGTTCAGAACTTATTGCAACTTTTTGTGATTTTCTGCCATAAGAGGTCATAGTCCTCACACCGCTTACCCATGAAAAGGGTTGTTGACAAGCTAATGAGAGAATGTACAGTATGTCAGATTGGTATTATTATTTTTTTATTTAAGTTGCAGCACATGTCAGGCAGGTAGGTAACAAGTATTGGTCTTTGACTAAACAACACCTCAACCAAACATTTAGAAAAAATTGTAAATTGACGCTACTACTATTCTTAATGAATGTGTAAATAAAGATTATTTGTCTATTGTCTATTGTCTATTGTCTAGGTACTGGTAGGCCTATAGGCAATGTTTTTTTGTTATACTAACTCAGGTAATTGTAAACTTGTAAACTTGCATTTAAGATATATACCTACTGTATTGGTTGGCCATTGGAGCTAAATATAGGGTCAGTACATAGGAAATCAAACTTTATATTATTTACCTGTTTTGATTGCTCATCAAAAACACGATCGTACAACAGTGTTTTGTTCAACTTAGAACTTTCAGCACCACTTTTGATGGTCACTTCTTTCTTGCCAAACTCGAGGACATTGGCTTTCTTTTCCTTTGAAGAAAGTGGTCTGAAACCAGTTATGAATAAATTAGTGAAATTTGATTAACTACAAAAAACAAATGACAGGCTAGCCCACTCTCATTATAAATTACAGAAACTTTATCTAACGTCAAGTTATTTTTATTTTGTTTTAGTTTTATCTTTATCGAGGATTTTTTGTCTGGTCACTATTCCGCCTGTGACCGTGAAGTCTAGTGTAGTGCTTGTTCTATCAACTTCCATACATCAGTGTTTACAACAGTTTCCTGGAACACAACCTACTAACATGTTTTCGGAGAAACCTCAAGTTTAGAACATTTAAAAGAATTGATGATGTTATTTACTCACAACTAGGCTTATGTAAAAGAATTTGCAAATCAGTGTTGAATAGGTGCTACATGTGTTTAGACAATGGGGGTGTTTACTTTAAACAGCTTCTCTAACATGTACTTACAATAATAGGCCTACTGTTATAGCTATGTTTAATACCAGCTGTAGTTTAGCTGCATTTTCGGTACGCTGACTTTTGCCGCACCCTGTATATATATATAGGCTATATATACGTAGGCTAAAGGGGCTCATGAAAAAAAGAAGAGATATGGCAGTTTATATTTTGTGCAAAATCACACAGATTCCCCCAAGCTTGGTTTATTTTACGAGGCGACATCAGTAAAATGCTTACTTCACACAAAAATAAGAATTTACTCAAAGATTGCAAAAAAGGATTAAAATTTGTATACAAATTATTAAATTATTGGTTTTTCATGACTTACCTCACTCTAATATATGACTGAATGTTAATGGCCTGAGCATCTGGTTTCTTCAAGTTCATCTTGCCAGCCATGTTGTACTCAGGGTTTGGTCACAATATTTTTGAATCTGAAAACAACAACCACAATATTAAATCACTTTTAGACAAAACTATAATTTTCTTACATAGCCTAGGTAATAATACTTATGTTCTGACTACCGCCCGGTATCAATTATTTATGGTTATCATGTTAAATTTAGGAACAGTCATTTCTTGTTAGGACCCCCTTAAGTTTAATCCCAGCTGATTTTATTACATAACTGCCAAATTTGTTTTCTTCATCCTTGGAACACATATGCAGGCTTTCTAGCTTCAAGTAGGATAAACTTAACCAGATTATTCGGGAGGTCAAAACAATTAAAATCACGCAACAAGGCATGTGTCCTATCTTGAACCGTTTAGCGTTCAACCCCTGTAGCTCAAACTGTTGAGGATATGAATATATTTGTAAAAAACACATATACAGACTTGTTAACGAGTTCAAAATAGGACACATGTTGTATGGCATTTTTCGCTTTTTTTGACCTCCCAAATAATCTAAGGTACAGTAGGCCAAAGTTTGTTATTGTTGAAGCTGGACACCCTGTAATAAAGGATATGGTAGGTAAATACTTATTTATAACCTACCTTAACTTATCCATAACTTACCCTTAACTTACCTTAACTCATGGAATTTACCAACATCTATTTAATATCTAACGGTACCAGTAATGAATAAACAAAAAGTGTGATCAGAGATGCAACTCGGAAATAATGTAGGCCTAGTCCTACACAGTAAAAAATAAAGTCTACCTTACCATGTTCTCAATTTTTTTTTGACGGGTCTCTTAGTAACAGCTCTGCTACAAAACAGACAAATGATCCTACGAGCTGCATAACAGATTCTAAAATAAATTGAACCATTCATTGAGGCAGGGGCCAACTCTCAATCAAGGGGAGATCCCCCCCAGGCCAGGAAAACACAAATAAATTGCTGTTGTGTTTATTATACTGACATTTTTAAAAAAAGATTAGAAAATTCAGCCATTATTATCCATGAGTAGCCTATATATGCACATGCAATAAGCCTAGGCCCTAGCCATCAAAAATATAAAATAGGCCTATGTACAATAATCTCACAGCAAGTGGAAACAAAACCAAACCATGTTCAAAAATTTGTGTGGCAAAATCTTAAGTTACATAACTTAGGCCTAAGTTAATCAGTAAAATGACCCCGTCGCAGCAAACCTGCAGACTAAGCGAATTTCCATTTGCCTGATTTGATTTAGACTAAAATGTCTCCTTAAAAATATCACATTTATTCCCTATTTAAATAGAATCAGTTTAACACATACTTAGGTTTGCTGCAACAGAGAGGGTAAAAGTGTTTTTTTATGTAAAATGTTAATAGTTAGTAAGAAATAAAAACATTTTCCAAATTTGGGCAAAATATGTTAATAAACAAGCACACTACAACGGTTTACTTATTCTCCATAAGAATAACATGGGAATTTTAAATTAACAATTTTTTGGAATTTTCTCCGTAACCATTAGGTGCATTATAACGCTTCAATATACTAAATTATTTGTTTTTTTAAGCTCTACAAAATAGTTTGGAAAGAAATTTCAAAATTTTATGTTTTTTGGGTCAAAAATGGGAAAAACCCATTTTTACCCCATAAAAGCCCCCATAAACCCCTGTTCCCATGGTCCGATCATGCTGGTTCGCGAACTCGTTCGAATAAACGTAGGTTTACACGTTTGTACCAAATTTCATCAAAATCGGATCATTTTTGCTCGAGTTATCGCGCTAACGGACACACATATATATATATATATATATGAATTTGAACGGATGGTGTTTTTGGCCTCTAGGGACCTCAAAACGAAAAAAAAAATCGGTCCCGGGTCCAGGTCTTACCATGAGTACTACGGTAATAGCTTATTCCCTATATGGGAAATTCGCTAAAAAAACTTTTAACTTACTGCCCCTTTTGAAATTATCTAAATAAAAATTTGTAGGAAAAACAAAAGGAACAGCCAATAAGAAAAGTAAGTAAATGGATCATAAGAATAATAGGCATGGTACTTAATAACAATACTAAGAACGGTTTATAAGGGAGTATTATTTACTTACCAGCCCGGCAACAGTGTAGCGTAGTTGTAGGTCTAGGCCTGTCCTAACCTCTAGGCACAAGGAAACTTGGGTTTGAAACCTTCGATAATTTGCTCAAGATGATTCTTGATCAAATCTAAACCAAACTAAAAAGAATAACTCGACCTTTAGTCAAACGGGCAAATTCTCAAAAACAAATCGAACCGATTCCAATCCAAAGTCTTTCAGACCGTCACATTCACCAGGGGGCCCTGTTTCATAAAAATACTAGTCTAGTATTTACTAGTCCATGGACTAGTAATACTAGTGTATTTTACAAGTCTACGTTTCAAAAACCTACTAGTGTTAAATACTAGTTACTAGTGTAGGAACTAGTATTACTAGTGGTTTTTACTAGTGTAGACAGCAATGTGTGTTTCATAAAGTTTTACTCTTGTAAATTACACTAGTAAATACTTGCTATTTTCTACCAACCTCTCTTCACCCGTATTATTTGAAGTAGACTAGTATTTTTGGAAAGAGAGTTACCCTTCATTACTCACATCATAAAAAAATGAATTTATTAAGTTATTTTTGCTAGTGCGAATTGGCTCACGAATAGGTATGTGAGTGCTAAAATGATAATTATTAGATATAAATTACTATCAATAAATGTGGCGTAGTACAAAATGAGTGAAATTGAATTTTATAATGTATGTACAATCGCCCTATTAGAATAATTATAATTATGAGTTATCAATTTCTGTGAAATTTTAGTCTAATTTTACTTGAGTTAAATTTCATGGTTGTAAACTATTTAGCTATCACAGAGAAAATAATTTTAAGCTTTGAGAGTAACCAAATTAAAACCGCATACCGTTTTGCATACAAAGATGTACAAAAATGTATCCAACAATGCAACATTAATCAGATTATTTTACACCCAATTAAGGCTCTCGGTTTTATTTAAAGACATTTTAATAGGAAATAATAGTAAGGCAATTTTAAAGAGGAGTTGCATTGTATTTTTTGAGGTGCTTATTATTTGCTTCCCTAAATAGCTAAAACCCTGTGATGTACTAACAATTTTGTAGACCTATATTTGATTTTTGGGCGTTGAACTGAACTGCTTATCATAAAAACATTACTTTAAATCCATTTTGGTAGTCTGAATTTGTTATTCAAAGTAATCAAAAAATAGATGTTGATTAGAGCTGTTATTTTAATGTAAAAAACATGTAAAAGTTTAATGAATGCAATAAAAAGTAGAGTGGCGCAGATTTGAACCAGGGACCCACCACATGACAAGCGAGAACTCTGCCTCTGAGCTAACCGGCTAACCCCTGCCATAGCGCCTATGCCATGTTTTACTATACTTGAAAACCTACTTCTCTATTGCTAGTAACGGCGTTGCAATTATTTGTTACATCAATAAACGTTTAGGCTTATTATTCATGGTTTGTAGACTCAAAATTAGAATATCTCCAAATGGTTTTTAACCCAAATATTCTTATGCATTCGAATATTTGAAAACATAGGTTAGGGTACTTGAAAACGTTCCAAACAAAATGTCCTTAGACGATTTAATTACATTCAAAATTTGAGCCTTCTTGTCTTTACTCATAGCAAGCTAAATTTTATATGTCAGAATAAAACAAAAACTATACAAATTGTGCGAATGCGGCAGCAACAGATCAACTTCCACCCAACTGTTGAGCGCCGCAACTAGGCCTACAACCGACTACTACAATCACCGTGTTGATTGCAGCGACGCGACGCCGCGCCGGCGTGCTCATTGATGAACATAAATAATAGCGGTTTGATATATAGTACCGGTATGTGATTGTTTTACTTATGTGTCTATATAGTTATTAATTTAAAGAAAACACTGCATTTCTACAACTATTTACTTTTTGTATAAAATGAAAACAAAATTAAAACTCTTTATAAAGGGTTTGAAAACCCGTGATTGAGGTTAGAAATTTGTTTTGAGAGTTTACCTTGTAAAGTTGGTCACGTGACTAGTAGTTTTGGTCACGTGACTAGTAAAATACACTAATATTTACTAGCGGTATAAAAACGTTTGTGAAACAGAAATTAGTAGGACAGGTAAATACGGGACTAGTATTTACTAGACTAGTAATTACTAGACTAGTATTTTTATGAAACAGGGCCCAGATGAAGGAGAAGGGAAGGAAGATGGATGAAGAAAGAAGATGAAGATGAAGTTCGTTCGTTCGTTGACAACTTTCAAAATTTCAAACACTAGAGTAGTGTTTGGTATCGATATCCGATATATCGGAAATATCGATATTTTGGTTCCGATATATCGATATTTTTATATCGATATTAGACTTCCGATATTATCGGGATATCGATATTTTACTTCGATATTATCGTTAGAATTGATTTTAGCAATTTTTCAAAGAATAATGCAAGAACAAAATACAGCTTAATCATTTCTGAACTTGTTTAGCAGTTATTAAATATTATTAATAACAAATTTATTTGTACACACAAACTATTTCATGTACCTATCTAGTTAAAAATATATTTTTAATCTGGTTGCCTCTGCCTGCATTTGAATAGTGAGTTGGCACGGTTGGCAGAAGTCAATAAAATATAAAATACAAAATACAAAATATAAAAACAATAAAATAATAAAATCCCACATAACAGCAAAAAGTATAGTTTTGCTATTCAATTCTATAGGGGTCTTAAAACAACTAAGTTTAATACCACACTTGGTAGGCTAGGTAAGTAAATCAAGCATGGTGGCCTGTAGCATGTCACTGGCCCGGAACCTTTAAATAATTAATAACTCGGTTCCGGGAGAGGTAACTTACTAATTTTTTGTTTGAAAGTACTAAGTAGTGTGAAATAGTTATTGAATATTGGCATAATTCATTTGTATGAATTCCGTCATGGCCGGACCAGTGACTTGGATGTAATAAGTTAGTGATGTCACACAAGAAGTCCCTTAAAATAATTTTAAGCCATGAGATTGGTTAGTGGCTTAACCTTTCACTGCGGCATAACCTACATGAAACGGGCGCTCGCCAATGGCGGCAAAGCCCCGGAGCGCCAACGAATCAGCGAACGCAATTGGCATTCAAATATTTCAGTCTGATGAATCCCAAAAGAGCAGCGGTGATTGTGCTGTGTTACCCTGAGAGTGGACGTAGCAGTTACCGAACGTGTTAAATAACCAAGGGTAGTAGCACTGACTGGATCCATAGCCAGTCTTTGTAATGGCTCGAAGAGAGAAAATCCCTGAAACCGGGACAAAAGCATTGCCAGAAGGGAATTTACGGGAAATTTTAGTACAAACCTAGACCAAAATAAAGCTCACATTCTAAACTACAGGCTGGTAACGACTGTAACGTTCTGTGTCAATAGCTGAGCTCACACTGACTGTACAAAGTTAAATCATGGGACGGCCGATTACGACCGCGCAGCACCTGGCAAGCAACCGGCACCGACCAATTTTAACCGCTCCGCAGCTAAGTTAACGTGCTAAGAGAGATTTCTTAAATGCTGATTTTGATAGAATTTTGTAATGCTAAAAATTGTTAAGGCCTAGGCCTAGTTTATTGCAATACCATAGAGTCAGTTTTAGAGAGGGTGAGGGTGACAAGTTTACAACATTACAAGGAATTGCTCTGTATAAACTTTAAGTAAAAACCAAACTCCTACCGGTGATGGCGTTTTTCTTGGCCAAATGATTGATCACTAAAGTGGCAATCCCACAAGAATCGTCAATTTGCAAATCAAAGGACCCTCCACAGAATTGAGACAGATGGTTTTTACAATCTTCCATAGAAAACTCTGGTCCTTCATACATAGCTACGGATGCCATTGGCCTGAAATTTCTCCTGAAAACTTGTTTTAAAACACTAGTGTGCATTTAGATCATTGCAGTACCAATATATAGCAAACTCATTATCAAAGTCTTTATAATGCAGGAAAATATAAAAGTTTAAGTTAGGTCGAGTTAAAATAACATAAGAGATTAAGGCTCTTTGAGGTTAAATTAAAAAAAAAAAACCATAACAACAACAATCATAGCACCAACGAACGGCGGAGAGTGGAGAAAAGAAAAAGAAAAAGAAACTAAAAAGGAGCAGCTATGTACAAAGAGGTTTGTTTGAATGGGGAATTAAACATCATACCTAAGGGAGCATGTTTTATTTGGCATGATCATACATGATTTGGCATGATATTTTTTGCGGGGTCGTGACTGGAATAAACCCAGCCAGATCCACACTTAATGAAAATCGTGCTGATTCCACTTCCCCATAGCACTCACGAAAACCCTGCTCAGCATAAGCCAGCTTTGATAGGTCTCAAATAAATAGATTAACTACATCTTATTCAACTCTAACTACTCCTCGCCATTGTGAAAAGCCTGCCGCAACTTGCCCTAAACATGATATCGATAACCGTAAAGTTTAATTTAGTTACTTGAATTAATTTATTGTTGGTTGATCTTGGTCTAATTTAGAAAAAGATATGATTCCCCTTACCCCCCAAAAGATTAATTAACTACTTAGACATTATGGGTACCTTACTAACTGTAGAGTAGACCCAGGAGTCCTTTTGCGGTGTGTGGTACAAGCAAGACAAACCTGGTTGCCGGCGGTTGGTCCTTTCCGGCCGGAGCGCTAGTGTCGCTCCGAGTAGAACTGTCTGCTCGCCTTTGGATCAGCTGATGGGGTTGACTCTTACCTTATACCATAATTGTTGGCGGTGATGTGGGTTATCCCCACATTTTAGACATTCTTTAAATTACCAAGTGTCATGGAATGGATTTCAAATATGTTACTTGATCGTCTCCCACGGTAACGATGGAATCGGAAAAATGTCCTGCGGTCAAAGCGAATTCATTAACCCAAAGCATTTCCCACATTTTCACGGGAGTTCATTTCCCGTGGTTGCTACGAAATATTGTAGTCATTTTGCTTTGCGGTCTCGGTGATATTGTGATCGTCTCCTGCGATCGCGATGAATGGTTAAAATTTCCGTGGTTGTGGGTGTCATATATGAGAACTAACATCGGTAGTTAGAAATATGTGTGTGGGGGCTGCACTGCCAACATGCGATTTCAGCGGCAGCTTCTCAACCCTCGCTCTCCTCACTCCTCAAGTCTACTACTTCAGGGCGGTTGCTTGAATGCTTGAATAAGTTCAAGTTGCTTAGTCCCGTAAGTAATAGTGGGCAAATTCTGCATGTCTCCTGTGGTCACAGAGGAGGAATCATGAACGTCTTCTGATGTCGTGGTAAAATCATGAATTTCTGCCGCGATACCGTACCGCTGGAATGTCCCCTCCTGCGATCGTTGGTGATATAGAGTGGACGTTATTTGAATCATGCATATCTTCTACATTCATGGAATCATCACCAATGTCTTCCATGATCGCAGTGAAAAAGTTACCGTGTCTTGAAATCGCGAAATTTTGTGGGGTTTCTGGGAACAACCTTTCGTTCCAGGAAAAAATCTCAAAAATAACCCGAACGATTTGATTAAAATGTAGTATGATATAGCCCTTTAAATTCTTAACAGAATGGTATAACTCCCATTTTTGTAAAAAATGTAAAAAGTAAAGTGTTTAAAAGGTATTGTTACTTTATTTTCGCATTAAAACACCATAAAATACATGATGAAAAATCTTATTAAAAAATCTGGTTTGATTAAAATTAGTATGGTTCTTCATCATAATTCTGAATCGTGTAAACTTCCGTGATTGTTTTAAAATTACGGTTCAACAAAAGTTTTTGTAATTTTTCATAAAAAATACCAGAGTTACTTCCACCGCTTACCCATGATAAAGGTTGTTGAGAAGCTAATGGTAGAAAGTTTTTATTTTCAAATCTGACACAGTTTATCCAGTGAACAATTGTAAAAATGAAGGCATGGTATTAAATAAATTAATGTAATATACCTCACCTTGTTAATATGACTGTAAAGGTTGGGGTTTTCTCCAGGTTGACGATAGCACAGTAAGTAACATCCAACATCCCTGGAGGCTCAGACCAGCTGTAAGTATGCAGATACAAAATCAGCAAAACATAGCATTTTGAATGCATATAAAATTAAAATAATGACAAATTATATAATCATAATAACTGTAATAAAAACTCTATTTAACCATTGGCTAAACTACATTCTAAGTGGATTCTAGTTAAGTCTGTGTCTAACACGCTCAACGTAATGGCGGCAAATTTATAGCAGACGGTTTTACAACAAAGATCCTGAATTCGGATTCCAAAAAATCCTAACCTCAACCAACTTCACTTAATCAGTTACAGTGAATCAGTAGGCCTATTCGGATTCAAGCAAGAAGAGAAGATACCAAAACGACCATTTCAGTTACGGGTTTTCTAGTTTTATCGAAAAAAATTAATTTGTCTACAAATGAAGCTCGAAGACAGCATGTCGCGAAAATATGGTGTATTAAACTGTCCGCCTACTGAGGACAGTGCTGCTATATGCCATAAGAGAGTGGATTGTGAATATGTTGATTTATCACAGATATTCCGTCAGCAATCAAAGGATTTCTCCAAACAATTTGCCCACATTTATGCTGTTCGTCTCAGCTCATTGAGGGACCCATTGGTTAAAAGGGCTTCTGCAAAATGGGGTATGTTAATTTTGAAATCCATTTGGTAAGTAGGCTAAGCCTAACCTCTTACATAGGCATAATAATTGATGCTCCTGGAAAAATCATTGTAACTTAATAGGAATAGGCCTAACCTCATTACTGTAAGTAAATTTGCCAACAAAAGCATCTTAGCTGAGGATAATCTTCCTGATGATGCGCCATTTTTAAATTCTCTTTATATGGGACGGCAAACATAAAACCAGCAAATAAACTGATAACTGAACTCATCCTACTCAAAACCCAAACTTCTATAAGTTATTGATTGTACAAATTGATTGATAAAACGATGAAGTCGGATAGCAAATTGATTGGTGAGTCGGTGGCTCAGTTGGTAGCGTCGCGGACTTCGGGCCCCAAGGCAGTAGTGTCGTGGGCTCGGATCCTGGTCACTGCCACAAACTTTTATCAGTACAGTTCACCTTTGTACTGTACCGGCTCACCCCTTGCTTTGCTGGATACGTTCCATGCACAGATCTGTAGTCTATGTGGACGGGCAAATGCAGGGTTAAAAGAGGCCGCCACTTCCTAGGAATCTTGGTATTTCCGCTCCCTTGCTCAGCGAGGGGAAATATGTGCTAAACTCTACAGGATGTTTCTTCCACTAAAAGTAGGCTATTTGACTTTACCATGTTTTGGGTTTAATTGTGACATTTCCATCGTCAATACTTAAGAAAAAAAGGAGATAAAAGTGTAGTTAATTTTGTAAATAATGGAAGCACCACTTTAGAATAATATTCTTCACTTAGTTTTATCAATATTTCAGGTTCTGACGTTAAAGTTTGTCGGTTAGTGGAACTGGAAAAAGCAGAGGGAGAAAAGTGTGTTATCATTGGAACCCTCTTTCTGGATCAACGTTTAAAACCGAGCATTCTGAAAGATATTAGTGAAGAAGTAAGTCAAAAATGTAGAATGTGCCGTATTTCCGTATATTTAGGTATCAAATATCCATAGGCTACTTGGTTTCCGATCATTATTTTATTATTTTTTTACATCCAGGCCTAAAAGAGCAGTTCTGCATTGAGTCTACAAACTGTCATAATATTGCTTAAAACTGTTAATTTTCAATAGGTAGTTTCAAAATAACTTTTAGGTAAAAATAGTTTAAATTCTGCTTAAAGGGGTTGTAAAATTTATTTTTCACATACTAAGGAAGTTTATAAATAAGCTCACTTTACACATTTCCAGATCTCTTCTACTAGGCTCACATGTAGCAAGGTCTCCGTCCAAACATAAATAAAAAGTATATTTATTTATTTTTGTATTGGTTCTGCCAGTTAGGAAGAATGTGTTTACTACATACCTAAACTAAAACAATATAATTTATGTTCTGTGGTTGTTCTGGGACCATTCAATTTATCCCTTCGTCAGTGTCTTTGATTTTAAAACACAATCAGTGACACACAGAGTCTTTTTGCAGGTGTTAAAACATTAGACACACAAACTTTTTTATACATTTTGATATAAAAAAGTATTAAAACCATGTATAATCAATGAAATTGTACATGGAATCAATTAAAACTCTTTAATTACATATTTATAATTAACGGTATCAGCATTCTGACACATACTTTATCCCATAAGCTTGTCAACAACCTTTATCATGGGTAAGCGGTGACGGTGTAATTAAAAATCTCAAAAGCTGCAATTACTTTTGAACCATAAGTGTTACAGCAATGGGGTGTTGTACTATTTTTTTAGAATTATAAGGACCATAACATATCAATTTTGATCAAAACCAGCTTATCTCCAAAAATCCGATTTTTTGTTATTTAATGGTTGGTTCTTCATGGGAAAATAACATAAGTACTTAACAATTCAGATATCACCCTTTAAACTCTTATTAGGGACTCCTTGTACTTATTTTACCATATATTGTGGGTAATATCTTAGATTATATTTTGATGAATGTCTTGTATTTACAGGCACAGCTGATTCCCCAGCCAATCCGCACAAACTTTGTGTCTGACACGGATACTTTGATCCTGGAAGACGAACTACAGCGAATTGTTCTCCATGGGAGTTTAGATGTCCACAAGGTGTGAATTAACTATTTTCTTTCTTGCGATAAATGGCAGGATAAGATATTGATAATGGTGAATTTTGAACTTTCAATGGAACGTTCATACTTTATTCAATTTTTTTCTCTTAGGGTAAAATCTGGCTTTATATGAATTAATAATTACAACTTACGTCAATCAATCCAGTATGTTTATGGAGGACGCACGTTTCGACCTTTAGGTCATCTTCTGCTCCGCTGTTGCACTGATGACCTAAAGGTTTAAACGTGCGTCCTCCATAAACATACTGGATTGATTGACGTAAGTTGTAATTATTAATTTAAACATCAATCCGTTTGCTACAAATCAATCATGCTGGCTTTATATGA